ACTTTTATGTAAAAATAGTTAAATGTTACCTAAACACATTTGAAATGTAAGCTTTTAAGAAGTAAGTGCTGATGATTTTTTAAGAACTAGAAGACTGAGCCAGAAGAATACTATATAATGACTGTTTTCCCAGCAGATTAGTTGACAAATTATAAGTATATAAAATTCAAAGAAAAACTCAGTCTATAAAATGCATGTACATATCTTTGGGGTTGTTGATTTTAGTTATAAAAAATAAAATAACATTTTATAATAATCTTATATCAACTGATGAAGTTATTTTTGTGTACTCCGTTTAAAATTGCATAAAAGTGGCCTTTGTTTTTTGTTTTAAGAGGATATATAATCTTGTATAACCCCAAAAGTATCTTAAACATTAGATGTTCAAGAAGTAACTTTGTTTAATGCAGAGAAACATAGCTACTGTCCCAGGTCAAAAAAACATAATATGGCACTACTGCCTAGAGAGAGACCCTGTGAGATTCAAAAGTAAACAAGAATATTTCTAAAGCCAGTTGGTTGCTGGCTGAGGAAGAATGGACTAGACGGGTGTGTATCTTATGTGTAAAATATTAGCTAAACTTACCTACCTTATTATTCCATTCTGTTTTGTGTTTTTGAACTTCATTCACAACAGGTGAGCAAAATTTTGCTTTTACTGGTCAGAACAGGACTAGAATAGGATTGTGTGCGGCTAAATCAAAAAGTAAAGAAAAGGGGGGGTGGGGGAGTAAGAGGTGGCAGAATTTTTTTGGCTTTAAATTGACCACCCTATTGAAATATATGAACCAAAAGGAAAAAAAGATGAAAACTTTTTTCATTAAAACATTTTCTCTTCATTATTTTGTCCTGTCTGGTGCTTAAAGTCATGTTTTAGAATAATCTCAACCAACTTTAAAAAAAATTATTAGATGTATTGAGGTGACACTGGTTAATAAGATAAGACAGGTTTCAAGTGTAGATTTCTGTGATACATGATCTGCATACAACATTTTACGCCCACTACCCAAAGTCACATCATCTTCTGTCACCATATTTTTGGCCCCCTTTATTCTTTACTACCCCTCAACCAACTTTTTTACATTAAAAAATATTTATTAAAATTTTTGAAAATACATTGAGTTTTCTCATCTCCTAAGAACAAGAAACCTGTGAGTATAATGTGTATATGAAAACCTGTATTTATTTTTTTTAAAGCAGCTTTCTATTTATATGTACCAGGTGACTTTTCTTTAGGCCACTTTAAGGGTCATGAGATTTCATACTAAGTTTTACATTTTTAGGTCTTTTTAAATAAACAACCCCTATAAAGTCTTGCTTCTCAAATGATTCATAATATCTCTGCTAGATATTTTTATAATCCTGACTTCTTGATGGTAGCTGACTGGTGAAATATCTTTTTATTCTTTTTATTACCTAAGTGAGTAACAGTAAGCAGCTTAATCTTTTAATACCAGTTGCTGGACTGGTAAGGTGTGTCTCCATTTTATTGAGCTACCTTGGCACCTGCAATACATTTTTGAAGGCAGCAGTGACATTTGAATATGTACTTTTACTGCCAGAAGGCCAAACTCATTCCTCTAAATGTATGTTTTATAGCATTGGTATGGAATTTTCCATACCTAAATTTTAGCTAGAAGTTGAAAAAGTAGCATAACCTAGTAGTTCAGGTTATTATACAATGCACAGTTGGTTTTGCTATTGGTGACTTTATATCTCATTTATTCAACTATTATTTCTATTTGTAAGTAGGATTTGATTTCTTATTTGTAAAGTCATGAGTGTATGTATGGTTGCATGGATAGGATTAACAAAAGGACCAAGGATTGAAAGCAGGTTCACAGTGGACCTTAGTTATTATTATTCAAGAGAATTCTCTGCTTCCTTTTAACTCTAAACTTTATTATCTTTTCGGATTACCTTGAAATCCAAAGTGGCCTTAGGTCAGCAAGTAATTCAAAGAACTTTCAACCTAGATATTACATTTGATTCTAGCTCATGTGAATATAGATAAATAAATTGTACAAGTATTCCCATTTGTTTTATAAGGAATCTGAAGCTTAGCTGTTTCTATTTGCCCAGTTCACACTGAATTCAAGTTTTCTATTAAATCCTTTTATTTTTCCAATATGCTTAAGCTAAATTGAAATGTCTTTTGATAGAACCAATGTGTGTGTTTGTGTGTATAATTAATTAATGTGTAGAGTTTACTGCCAGAAGTCCAAACTACATTCCCCTAAAATGTGTTTATAGGAGAAGGAACATTTTCCTAATCATATTCTATATTCTCTTTTGTTGCTTTTCTGTAGCATTTAGAATATTTTTACATGCAAAGGCCAACTATGTATGTGTCCACTTTTAGCAAAGAATTGTCTTTCAGGTAACTTTCTGCCAATAGTGAATGTTCTACGAACTCAACATATAGTATTTTAGATTGTTTTTCCATTATATTTATGAATAGCATTTTAAAATTTGCTTTTAGGTCAGCAGGCGTGGCTCAGTGTTGGAGCATGAACCTATGAACAAGGAGGTCACTGGGGCAAGCAGGAGGCAGCCGATCAATGATTCTCTCTCATCATAGATATTTCTATCTATCTATTCCTCTCCCTTCCTCTTTGAAATTCATAAACATATATTTAAATAAATGAATAAAATTTGCTTTTTTTGTTTGCTATAGTAAACAGTTCTACATGTTTATTGTATAAAATTATAAACAAATATAAAACAAAACCACTAGTATTTCTTCTACCAGAGAACTTGTATTGTGCATCTTCCATTTTTTTCTTAAAACAGTTCCTATTTTCTTAAACCTTAGTTTGAAATTCCATACCAGCGAGCTCAATTAAAGCAGACTTTTACTTCAGCAGCATTATTTTCTTTCTTTTTTTTTTTTTTTAAATGCACCAAGGACTTGTTTTACTTACTTACTTACTTACTTACTTATTTATTTATTTATTTTAAAATATATTTTATTGATTTTCCACAGAGAGGAAGGGAGAGGGATAGAGAGCTAGAAACGTCGATGAGAGGGAAACATCGACCAACCGCCTCCTGCACACCCCCCCACTGGGGATGTGCCCGCAACCAATGTACATGCCCTTGACCGTAATCGAACCTGGGACCTTTCAGTCCACAGACCGACACCTATCCACTAAGCTAAACCGGTTTCGGCCAGCAGCATTATTTTCTTATTTTTATTAGAATTAAAAGACCAGTTGGGAAAACTTAATATGTTGGATTTGAAAGTAAGCAAAATACAAACTATCTTTTTAGTCATTACTTAGAAGTGAACCCTTTAAATACATTGATTCAATTTTAGGATCAGCATTACTACACAGTTCCTTGCTGTGGAAGGTTAGTCATAGAGGCAGAATCCTCCAAATTAGGATTTTTGAATAATGCATTCAGTAAATAATGAGAATTATTTCACTACAACTCTAGTGTTTGAAAACTTTTTAGCTAATTATTTGATGTAGTGTTGACCCTTGGAATAACACGGATTTAATTATGCAGGTCTGGCCAAAACCAGTTTGGATAAGTGGATAGAGCGTCAGCCTGCGGACTGAAAGGTCCCAGGTTCGATTCTGGTCAAGGGCATGTACCTTGGTTGTGGGCACAATCCCCACTGGGGGGTGTGCAAGAGGCAGCTAATTGATGTTTCTCTCTTATTGATGTTTCTAACTCTCTCTCTCCCTTCCTCTCTGTAAAAAATCAATAAAATATATATATATTTTTAAAAACAACACCTTAAAAAAACAAAACAAAAACTTTATACATTTTTTAAAATTAATACATATAGTACAATAAATTTTGTCTTCCTTATGATTTTCTTAACATTTTCTCTAGCTTACTCAATTGTAATAATACAGTTTGTGATATATATGTCATATAAAATATGTGTTAATCAACTATGTTATTTATAAGGTCAACAGCAGGTTATTAGTTAAGTTTTGGGGGTCAAAGTTGCAAGTGATTTTCAACTGCCCATAGGGGTCAGTGCCCCAAGGGTCAACTGTATTTCAATCTATGAGAGATTACATGCATTTCTGTGATCTATCAAATTATTATTAACTTTGGTTTAATATATCTTGTCACTGAGACTATAGATTATTATAATTAATATGTATTCTAACTTTTCTAGTTCCTCTGCCCTAATTCCCTGTTTTTTGTGTATTTAGATGCCACTTAATGTATAATATTAGTATGGTTAATCAGATGAGTTGGAATAATGAGATGGCTTTGTCCACATCACCTCTCAGATAGGGAGTATTTTGTTTATCTTTCAACACATTGCTGAAATTTTTATTTGCAAAGAATTTACACGTCATGAAGATTCTAAAATATCACTGGGATGCTCTTTAGTATTACATGTAATAGTTGCATTGAATGTTCTGAAATTAGACAGTTTCTCTTTCATATGGGTCTAATGTATCACTTTTCACTTTATGTTTCTTATGTATAAGACAGTTTGCTCTTCAGTTCTCATGCCAAACCAGTCCAAATCCTTAACTCCTTCTATACTTGGTGAGTTTGTTAAAGAGTGCTATAATCATAGAATACCTGCCAAACTGAGCATGTGAATTCATGCCCACACAAGTTCACTATTCAAAACAGCTAATTGCTGTGTTGATTAATGTGTTAGGTAACAAGGTTGAACAAAACACATTCTAACCAATTAGAATATTTGGCCTTCTTTTTAGCCAGTAACTTCTTTTACTTAAAACACAGCAGAAAATGTTAACAACATTCTAAAATTTTCGGTAGCCACATATACAAGCCATGGAAGTAAGTGCCTCCTACTCTGTTTCTTTCTTCTGTCTTGAGGGAGTTAAATTGCCACTACTCAACTCAGCCTGCAGGAACCAGCTCCTTCAGACAAATCAGTGGTGGGGGGAAAAGCCAGGTTTTTTAAGAAGTCAATCTAATGGAACCTTGAAAGTCAAAGTTCAAAGGCTCTGCCTTCATTAATGTTTTCTTGTCACTGTTTTTGTGCGTTTCAGGGGGTGAAGCCAGCCAGTTTTGACAAAGTAGCAATTCCTGAAGTGAAGGAAATTATTGAAGGATGCATTCGGCAAAACAAAGATGAAAGGTAAGTTGCCTCTTGACCTGCTGCTTAAACAAAAACCTAAAATGTTATGTTCACATGCTGTGAATATAACACTTAATATAAGGTGTATTTTACTAGTGACTAGTTTTTCAAGTAATGTCATAATATCTTTAAAAGTAGTTTTGTCCATTGAAGTGTTCAAATTTGATACACTGACATGTTGTAAAACTGTGGTGTTTAAGTAAATCAGAATTACCTGAAATATCAACATTTAATGATAACTTTGTATAGCATCAGCATGATGTATAAAACTAAGTAGGTTTAGTCCTGGTCAGTGTGCTCAGTGGTTAGAGAATCAGCCCATGCACTAAAGTGTTGTGGGTTGGATTCCCCTGTCAAGGGCATGTACCTGGATTGCAGGTTCGTTCCATCAGGTGTGTGCAGAAAAGGCAATCTCTCTCACTTAGATGTTTCTCTCTCTTCCTCCCTTCTTTCCTCCCTTCCACTGTGTTTAAATATCAATTAAAACATATCCTCACATGAGGATTAACAACAAAACAGAAAACTCAGTAGGGTTCCATCTCTAATGCAGCAGATCCATTCCTTAGTTTTTTATTCATTGAATTCTAAAAGATAAAATAAAATTTTGGTTCTTTAAAATCAACTCAACTATACAGGTCTTGGTTTGCTTTTATTATGCCAGAATTGAAGAAGAGCAAAACATCAAAATTCCTTTGAGTAAAAAGAGACGACTTCCCCTAAAGCTTAGGAGGAGATCTGGCTTAGTCATTTGTACTAACAGAGGACTTTTCTCAGAGGAGTGGCAAGTATCTGATCTGCCACAGAGCTGATTCATCACCCATTAGGCATGGCAAAGGTCCAATGTCTGTTTTTGAAAAATAATCCACTTTGAATGTCCCCCCTTACCCTCTTAAAAAAATTTTTTTTTTTTTTTTAAAGATCAGCCTGTACAAATATAAATGTAAGTTGAGCATAGTCTACCTCCAGAAGAATGTGAGCAATCAGGTATATCAACCAAATTAAAGAATTCCATATCTTCCCTTCTCCAGTCTCATGCTCTTTTCATAACTTCATTATTTGGAAGAGGTTAACATCATGATCTTTAAGGCTTTTTAGTAGAAATTTAATTTGGGTTTTTATTTTAATCTCTTTAAGAACTTTTTTTTACTATAAACAAAGGAATATTTGTTTCCCAGTCTTCAAACATATTACTCTGTTTTCTTTTCTGGATGGACCAGTTCACTAGATTACTGGTATTTTGAGACCATTTATCTAAAGAAGATTATTTCACAATTAGACTTCTGCTTGCCTAGTACACAAATTGTTAAACAGGAATTGAGAGAATTTGGGGCGGGGGGAAAGGAGGTAAATGAAGCTTGCTGTAATAGAAGGTAATGAACTTGAAATCAAAAGACTTATTTTTGAGTTTTAATTCCACCATTTACTACTATTATTATAACTATGAGCAAGATTTTCAGCCTCTCTGAACTTCCATATCCTAATTAGGATATTTTATTGAATGTTGGTCAAGGATTAGATGAAATCCTACAAATGAGGATTTTTTTTAATATGTAACTGTAAATGCTATATAAACAATTATATGGTATTTTGAAGCTATGATATTCTTTGTATTACTTGGTATTGTTAGTATACTATTAACAAATTAGATCATTATATTTTAAAAGGTAACACTTCCCATTTTTATTAATAAATGTTATTGTTATGAGATTGTCATGATGTTCTGTAACAAGAGTAAAACTCTAATCACTATTCAAATGGAACAATGTAAAAATGAGTTATGAAATGTCCTTGTAGTTTGTCAATCCTTTTTCATTATTCCAAGCATAACAATCAATAATTAGCCACACTTGAAAGTTATCTTTTAAATCTAATGATGCTTTATGTGTGTGTTTTTTCCCCCTTCTCTCTTTGGAAGATATTCTATCAAAGACCTTTTGAACCATGCCTTCTTCCAGGAGGAAACAGGGGTACGGGTAGAATTAGCAGAAGAAGATGATGGAGAAAAAATAGCCATTAAGTTATGGCTACGTATTGAAGATATTAAGAAATTAAAGGGGAAATACAAAGACAATGAAGCTATTGAGTTTTCCTTTGATTTGGACAGAGATGTGCCAGAAGATGTTGCTCAAGAAATGGTAAATTATCACTAATCAGCCATTTAAAAATTGATGCAGATTTATATATAGATAGATATAGATATAGATATTTATATTATTGAGCAAAAAAGCAGTTTATGAAGCAGTGTATATGGCATTTCCCATTGATATAAAATTGTATTAATTAAATGGCCCCCAAATTATTTTTGAGGAAAAGATATATAGACTTAGATAGGTATAGATGGATGGATCTAAGAGATTAGAATATGAATATGGAAATAAAGAAACTAGAATACATTCTAAAGTAATTTTGAGAGTTTAATGTTGAATGACTTCTAGTTTGTATTAAACATACTTAGTGAGAATGAGAAGCTATGCCTTCTAAATATTTATATATTCACCTTTGTCCAGTCATCTGTATAAACTCTATAAATAGATCATAAATTGTTTTTACTTTTAAGGGATTTTTCAAGATAAATTATTTAGATAGACTTTGGTGAATTATTTTTTGAAGTATTGTAAAATACCAAAAAGGAAACACTTCAATTTTTGGCTTGCCATAATGCCTAAAAATAGACATTTACTATGTAAAGGTACTTATATAATTTATAAGAACCATTTAATAATAGTTGCCTAAGTATGAAAGATACACTTATTTTTGTGATTTTTTTCATACTGTTTGAAGTTTGTGTGTTTTTTTTAACCTTATCTACCACAGTTGTTTTATCTGTTTAAATGGTTGCCTAGTGAAAGGAAGTACAAGCAACACAGGTTACTAGTAATGGTATGTGAGTGGGAAATAGAATCTAATGGGATTTAATTTGTTTTAAAAACTTTGGGTTTAGGTTTCTCGTTGTTTTGTTGTTGTAAGAAGTGAAAGTATATTCACCTCTCGAGTTTCTACAAAGATCTTGGCACCCACCCCAAGAGTGTCTTCAAAAATGGTGGGAAAATGCATGTTAGACCAGTAATTTCACAGTCTGGTTAAGATCAAGTCTTAAAGAGCTCTTTCTTTTTCTCTACTTTTCTCCCAAAAGGGTCTTTTTTGTTTTATATTTGGTTTGTTTACCTTTGATAGCCTACTGCTTCCTAATGCACATTTTTATCATATAGGTAGAGTCGGGGTATGTCTGTGAAGGTGATCACAAGACCATGGCGAAGGCCATCAAAGATAGAGTATCATTAATTAAGAGAAAACGGGAGCAGCGGCAGTTGGTGCGAGAGGAACAAGAAAAAAGAAAACAAGAAGAGAGCAGTTTCAAACAGCAAGTAGAACAACAATCAAGTGCTTCCCAGACAGGAATCAAGCAGCTCCCCTCTGCTAGCACTGGCATACCTACTGCCCCTACCACTTCAGCTTCAGTTTCTACGCAAGTAGAACCTGAAGAACCTGAGGCAGACCAACATCAACAACTACAGTACCAACAACCTGGTATATCTGTGTTATGTAAGTATTTTTGGGAGTGGGCAAGTATGCTAAGGATACTCCTAATTGACTTAATAGAGGGTCTAATTATTTTGTTTTATTGTAATGGGGGAACTGTCTTTTCAGACTCTAGATTTATATTGAGGTCCGTTACTTCCTATGAATGTAGAGTTGTATTGTCCATTTCTAAGAATACTTTAATAGCCTCCTCATACTTGTTAGGGCCCATATCTGGATGATACCATTTTCTCTGCCTCTCCCCTCTGGCCTCTGTTGTTTTTTGTTTTTTTTTAAATGTTTATATTTAATTTAAATTCTTTATTGTTTAAAATATTATATATGATTCCTTTTCCCCCTATTGATCTCTCCCCAGCTTCTCCCACACCCCAGCACATGCCCTCACCCCCTACTCTTTTGTCTATTGGTTATGCTTATATGCATGCAAGTGCAAGTCCTTTGGTTGATCTGTTACCCCCTCCCCTGCCTTCCCTGAGATTTGATAGTCTGTTCGATGATTCTATGTCTCTGGATCTACTTTTGTTCACCAGTTTATATTGTTCATTATATTCCACAAATGAGTGCGATCATGTGATACTTATCTTTGATTGGCTTATTTCACTCAGCATTATGCTCTCCAGGTCCATGACTTTTTATCTTCTTATTAATGATGTTGCACTGGCCTCTTGGTTTTGAATTATGAATGTAACATATAATAAGTTTGAAATGGTTGCTCTCTACCTTTTTCTATTCTTATGTTCATGACTAATAGAAAAGAAGGATGGGGCAGTGAGGAAATGTGAAAAGAATATAAGATGATTTTATAGGTTCCTTCATCTTGGAGATTCCAATTTATAGATTTCTACTTTTCACAATTCCTTAAAATGAAATCCAATATAATAAAAGGCTAATTTGCAAATGGACCAAATGGCAGAACAACCGGTTGCTGTGATGTGTACTGACCACCAGGGGGCAGATGCTTAATGCAGGAGCTACCCCCTGATAGTCAGTGAGCTCCCACGTAGCCTCTCACCTCTGTGGCTGTGCTAAGGATGTCCTACTGCTGCCTTAGGCCCACTCCAGGAGCAGCCCTAAGCCATCAGTCAGACATCCCCCAAGGGCTCCAGATTGCCAGAGAGCACAGGCTGAACTGAGGGCTACACACACACACACATTTCTAAGACACAAATTTCTAAGTGCACAAATTTCTAAGACATTAAAACTTTTTTTTCCATATGGATCTCTCATTTAAACATAGAAATATACTTAGTAAATTAACTACTATTCATTTATTTAGTTCAGGTCTGTGCAAAGAAAAAAGCTATTTGATCCTAAAGTCAGCCTCCATTTTATGATTTGTCTCTCTCTGTTTTTCTCCTTCAGCTGACGGGACTGTTGACAGTGGTCAGGGATCTTCTGTCTTCACAGAATCTCGAGTGAGCAGCCAACAGACAGTTTCATATGGTTCCCAACATGAGCAGGCACATTCTACTGGCACAGTCCCAGGGCACACAGCTTCTGTTGTCCAAGCACAATCTCAGCCCCATGGGGTGTATCCACCCTCAAGTATGGTAAGTAATAGCATAAGAGAGTGTAAACCGGTAATGAGAGCCAACAGATAATGTGTTAAATTTAAATTATTTCTTATATCCAAGTAATAGCATGAGTCTGAAGTAGAAAATATAAACGGTGTATTTCTGAAAGAAATAGGTTTATTATTGGGTGTATTAAGAGTAGTTCAGGCAGGGCAGGGAATACACACATACCATATGGAAAGTTTAGGCTGTTCTGCCTTTGATTAAAGATAACGATAATGTTCTCTTTAGCACTTTAGAGTTGAAACTGTTCAGAGGAGCATAAATTGGATATACAAATATTTGGGGGTCGGGGTTGAGGAGAATTTTTCAAAAGCTTATTTATTAAAAGAATTATTATGTATTTTCTGTAAGAGTTTTTGTTGTATAAAACACAGGTAAGACCTTCAGACCATTATAGAATGCTGCATGTGAGTACTCTAGAGTGAAAGAATCCTTTATTTGTATGACCATTTAATTTAGCGCTTGTGTTTAATCATTAGTTGCTATGTATGTTCCTCCTTAAGTCTGTGTTGGACACAAGTTCCTTCCTTATTATGTGTTCATGTGCTGTTTTCCTTTATTTGGTATCTGTTTCTTACTGGTTTATTTTTAGAATCAACTTATGGAGATTATTTCCTAAAATGTTTTATACATTTATATATACATACATACACAGACACATGTATACACATTATTACCCCATTATTACCCCATTATTACATTAGCCACTTTTGCTTCTCATAATATTAAAGTAGACCATCAGATAATATCCCTTTTTTTTTTTTTATGATCTGTGAAGTCTTAAGGGGTAAATAAAATAAACCATCTGGCTCAGGGTAGAATTGGAGAATAACTGGTCATTATATAACACTTTAGTGAAATCTTTAGACAGGTAGATTTTCCCTTTCTCAGAAAGCCTTTAATGTGAATTTTGTGGAACTCTTGCTCTTCAATAAATGAAAATCTTTCTCTGTTAAGAAAATACTTCTGCTTGCTCTTGTCTTTTATCCTACAGCTTGGGATAAAAGGTGTTTACTTCAGAGTCCATTTATCAGCCCTACAGTGGCTAGATCTCAAGATGAATGGCCACAGTAACATAAATAAAACTACTAATGTACTAATGTTTTAACAATCTTTTTCTGTCCTTTAGAATAATTAGGTAGGTTAGAAAAACTTTATAAAGACTGGATAGATGTATTTCTGTGATCTGGCAAATATTTGTCCGAATTTCTTGCCAGTTTCTACTCTGTTATAATTGACTTTTTTCTGGATCATCACACTAGATTTTCTGAAAACTATTTTTAACTTTTCAGCTTCATTCATTCATTCATTAGAGGGCCGTTGACATTGGGTCCCTTTTTTTAGAAAAGAAAATGGAGTGATCATTTATGAAGATTTTAAATATTTGAGCCACAAACATAATTATGATTATATTTATTGATGTGCTAAAAGCAGTCTGCTAATAACATTCTTGCTTTTTAATGACAATATTCTGTGGAGGTATCATGAAGTTATTAAATACTGAGGACAATAAATTTTTATAATTTTGTTCTTATTCAAGAAAGATTTTATTGTAACTTATAATATATCAATTATATGTAGAATTTAGAAATTAGAATAAAAGAGAAACAAGGGTGAAGAAAAATAGAACCAGGAATGAAATACATAATCATACAATAGTACTTATACACTTGCTGCTGGAAGGCCATAAATTTGGCTCATAGCATTCTATGCAGCCAATTTTAGGAGAAAAAATGCAATTAGTTGCAGTTTACAATATCCAAAAGGAAATAAAAATCTTCCTCAGGACAATCTTACAGTATTAGGTGTACTGTTTTGTAGCTGTATTATAACTTTTGTGTTAAAGTGCCTTAAATTTTGTAAACCTAAATTGAATCATTTTTAAAGTTAATTTTTAAAAATTCACATTTAATATATTTTCCATTGACTAATATAAATACACAATATTTCCTGTATCTATTGTGAATTACTACTAGAATTAATACTAGAAAGATACATACTTTTCCTAGTAGAAAATGACTTTTTAAATTGCCTTTACAGATAAAGATAGGCAAGCGAAATAAATAAAATACTGTGAGCCAATAACTTTTTAAATCTGATGCCTACATAAAAAGAATTGAGAAACCTTTTCTGAGGCTTCCAGAGCTCCTGCAAAGTAATCCAAACTTAAAATCTTCTATATCTTGTAATGTGCATTCAACTAATAGAATTCATTCTTGTTTAATCTTTAGAAGTTTGCAGAAACTACAAGCCAATATTCATTGTTTACCCTGTATGTTCTGCTACCTCAGTCATTCATTCTTATTTATACAATCATAATAATTCATGTTCTTTTAGAATACTTAGGAAGATAAGTGAAATTAGAATAAAAATACTTGTACTTGACCAATAGTGTAGAGAGAATAAATATGATCAGCCAGCTAAGCTTTCTGGAATTATAGCTCTCCAAAAAAAAAAATTGGCATTATGGAATTGGGGGGAAAGAATGTTTCTTTATGTCAGCTTTGCCCTGTTATCATTGTACATTTGGTTATTTTGTTTTCAAAGTACTGTGTTTTTCATGTGTGTGTTTGTTTTCTGTTTAGCCTCGTCGTGGCCGTAGCATGTCGGTTTGTGTTCCCCATCTTTCTGCTGTTCCCTCTCTGTCCCGCATCTCTCCCAGTGCTCCTTCCACCCCACCACCAGTGCAGTCTGCACCTCTTTCTCCTTCCCTCCTTCGGACTGCCCCTGAGGAAACTTTTGCCGAAAAGCTTTGTAAAGCATTGGAGAGTGTCCTGCCTATGCACTCTGCCTCTCAGCGCAAGCACCGACGCTCCAGCCTGCCTTCCCTCTTTGTCAGTACTGTATGTAACCATAAACTTCCTGACAAATGAAAATTTATTACCAATGAATACATCCAGGCATCAAGAATTTTCATAAAAATAATAAGAACAGGACTGAACTTAGTATTAAATTATGATTTAGGGTACCAATTCTGTAGAAATATTTTTTGTTATAAGGTTTTATGGGGGGGGGGGGAATGCAAGGAGGTAATGAGAGAGAATGCTTATAACACCCTTGACACACATCAGTGTGTGTACAATAAAATTTAGCTTTTTAAAAATATTTTCCTATCTCCCACTGACCTATACACACCCTTGCATTTTCATATCTTAGTAAAGAATATGTGTATTTTAAACTCATTGTTGGCTTAATCAAAGGCAATTTTCTCTTTATCAAACAATACCCAAACATGTTTTCTTCTCACTTTATTCTAGAGCTGCTAATGAAACTGGATGAATCTATTTTTTTCCCCATAGTCGGTGAATAATAATTAAACAGTGAAAGTTGATTTTAATTTCTTAGCTGTTTGAAATGATGTGTCAGCAAACAAAAAAGGACACATAATGTTTCATCATGAAAGTTTTTTTTCTTAGATTGATTAAGGTGGAATCTTGACTAATGAATACATTAGTCACATATATAGTCCATGTGATTTTCTTTGGCCCATCCATGTCTATAAAAGATCTGCCTTCTAAAGTTTTAAGCACTGTGGGACCTTGCTGTTGCTTTTCCAGATAGAGAATATGTTATAATAGAAACCCTCTTTTAGATGTTGTGAAGAAATGACAAAGAGCTATTTTGCTAACTTAATAGGGGTCTTCCCTATTGAAAAATGAAACAGTTCTCTTTTTAAAAACGAGCCTATGAAAGTGAATTACCACAGGGTGCACGGTTTGCACTTGGCCAGAGCAAGATAGGATTCTAAAATTAGTTTTAAATCCAGAACTGCTTCTTTGACTCCAAAAATATTGTTGTAGCAAGTCAGCTGTTATTTATATTCTCTCTTACGGATTTGAACCCAAATTATTCAACCCTTAACTAGGACCAGAAAGTGGACATTTAGTAATTTGGCGTCTGTCGCATGTTTCATGTAGTAAAATTAACTATATCTGGTTTGCGATAGACCAGAACAAAGACATTACTGTCCCTAGTCAAGTTGTGTATTTTTTACTATCCACCAAAAATCTCTTCTAATTTCTACTTAGAAGACATACAATTACTTGATAAGAAAATAACCCTGAAGCCTCTAATAGGAGAGGATAATAAAAATATAGAATATAGGTAGACTTTGTACAAGAGCTTAAATTAAAATGCATTTCTTATATTATAAAAATTGTTGGGTTTATTGTTTTCCCTTAACTCTTTCTCTACTGATGTAATTTATGTTAAGTATTAAGAGTAAGCATGTTAATTGTAGGTAAAAGTAAAATAATCATTTAGTTAAATTTTTTTGAGAAAGGAAAGTTGAGAAAGGAAATTTGTGGAAAAGCAGCTTTTATCTGAGGCAAAGAGTCCTACAAAATAATTACATGGACCCTGGATGTATTTAATGGATTTTCACTATGCACATAATTTCTACAAGTATTGTTATTTCTTTATTAATTATAAATTTGGTGTAACCATTTCATAGGGTTACACAGAGCTATCCAGTTGTGCATGTCAAATGTAATTTCACATATGAATGTATGAATTACTTGTCTTATTCATGTTGATACAGCCTCAGTCCATGGTGCATCCGTGTGGGGGGATCCCAACATACCCAGAATCACAGATATTTTTCCCAACTATCCATGAACGTCCAGTTTCTTTTTCACCACCTCCCACCTGTCCACCGAAGGTGGCCATTTCCCAGCGGCGTAAGAGCACCTCCTTCCTGGAAGCCCAAACTCACCACTTCCAACCCCTGCTGAGGACTGTTGGCCAAACTCTTCTTCCACCTGGTGGCAGCCCAGCTAACTGGACACCAGAGGCCATAGTTATGCTGGGTACTACAGCCAGTAGAATAACTGGAGAGCCATGTGAGATACCGGTCAATCCTTTGTTTGAACCGCCTCAAGTTTACAGTGACTGTAGACCTGGACTAGTACTTTCAGAAGAAGCTCACTGTTTTGTTCCTCAGGAAGCATTGTATCTAGCTGGGGTACAGTACCAGGCCCAGGTTGCAGAACAGTGTGAGGGTATTCCATACAACTCACCAGTACTGTCAAGTCCTATGAAACAGATACCTGAACAGAAGCCAGTACAAGGGGGCCCTACCTCAAGTTCTGTCTTTGAATTTCCATCTGGACAGGCTTTCTTGGTAGGACACCTTCAGAATTTAAGATTAGATTCTGGATTGAGTCCAGGATCTCCCCTCTCTAGTATTTCTGCACCTATCAGTACAGATGCTACACGTTTGAAATTTCACCCTGTCTTTGTTCCTCATTCTGCGCCTGCTGTGTTAACTCATAACAATGAGAGCAGAAGCAATTGTATATTTGAATTTCATGTTCACATTCCAAGCTCCTCTTCAGGAGAAGGAGGGGGAGTTTTACCTCAGCGTGCTTACCAAAATCGACAGGTTGCAATGGACTTGAATCAGGAAGAATCACCTCAATCAGTTGGATTACATGGTCGCCTGCAGCCTGTGACTGAAGAACAGCATAATTATGCCCCAGAATTGACCGTTTCTGTGATAGAGCCTATCGGACAGAACTGGCCAATAGGAAGCCCAGAATATTCCAGTGATTCCTCACAAATTACTTCTTCAGACCCCAGTGATTTTCAATCACCTCCCCCTACAGGGGGAGCAGCTGCACCTTTTGGCTCTGACGTCTCACTACCCTTTATCCATCTGCCTCAGACAGTGTTACAAGAATCCCCACTCTTCTTCTGTTTCCCCCAAGGAACCACATCTCAGCAGGTTTTATCTGCCTCATATTCTTCAGGAGGATCTGCACTCCATCCACAGGTTATAGGAAAACTTCCACTATTTTAAACTACCCTACTACGCATCATTACATTTAAATTTTCTATCCCTCCTTTCCATTTATGAGGAATATTATTTAATTTAATTATTATTGAATTTCTTCATTTGGGGGTATTAGAAACTATTTGTATTTAAGGCCAAAATATGAGAGAGAAGCTGCCTAATTTACTTATAATATATGCAAACCCTTAGAAAAAGAATATGAAAACTAGAATTTTAGTTGGTTATTAAAATCAATTACTTCTATCCATAGATAGCATATTTAAAACTAGTAGTAAAAGGTAGATGACCATATTGTGATGTTGACTCAACATTATTTATAAATACTAATGTGAATATATCTCCCTACAATTAAGCATGGCTAGTTTTTTTAAAATCTTTTTTTTACATAGAATTAACAATACACAGAATTTTCATTAGTGTGGAAGGATTTTAAAAGACAAAAAGGAAACGTCTTAAGAATTTGTTTTAACAAAATGAAGATGCCTTTTTAAAAAGGCATCAATCAAACAAGTCACTGTATATGTCCAAATAAAATGTTAATCAATAAAGTTAACTAATTCTAATTTGTAGCAACTAAATTAGAATCTAGTGTGGATGGTGGGGTTTTTAAAAATTTGTCTTAAGAACTTGTGATATATGTTGCAAGCTAAGGAACATTACATATCGCAGGCCTTGGTGATTTCATCAACAAATATAAATTTTGTTATTTATGTTTATGAGCTTATGCACTCTGGCAAATAAAGACCAAGTAATGGCCACATTAGAATTCAATAAATGGAATTAGTAGTAGCTATTTTATATATTTTGATATATTTTATCAAATTCATGTCTTATTAAGATCTATGTAAGAGATTATGCAATTATATACTTAAGACATAGTTTGGATCTTTTAAATATTCCATTCTTTTATAAAAAAACAAAACAAAAAAAAACCCTGTATATTCTCCTTTTTACTTTCTTCCTATGTGGGCATAAACAACCCTGAAAGTGTACCTAAAGTATCACTTACTTAGAATAGTACCAGGAATCAAAAAGATCCAGAAATTTGAAAATTATACTGCATGGGTATGCAGTACACTTATAGCATTACACTAGTTAGTTGTCAGTCTGTACTGTAAATCTTAATGCACTGCCAGTCATTCTTTAAACTTTCCAAAATAAAATTTCAAATATCAAGTAGTTAATTTACAGACATATTACAGAAACAATAAATGTGTATAGTAGTTAGGATGTACTGACATGTTTTATCCAAGGAATCTTCAAAGAAACCTCTTGTAAAGCCCCACATTCTGTTATTTTAATTTAGACTTTTGTAGGTCAGATTTTCTCAAATTCAATACTATTGATGTTTTACTTTGGATGATAGTTCTTTGTTTGGGGTAGCTGTTCCGCACAATATAGGATGTTTAACAACAACCTTGGTGTCTTCCCAGTAGATGCCAGTAGCATCAACCAAAAATGTCTTCAGATACTGCCAAATGTTCCCTGAGGTGAGGGCAAAATTACCCTTGCTTGAGAAATAATACTGTAAGCAATTTATGATAACAGATTTTTTTTTTTTTTTTACATTTTTCATAAAAGTCACCATGACACAAGAAATAGCAAAGGAACCAAATTAGCATTATCAAATACTCTTCTTTCATTGTTCACTTATAGAGAGGTATTTTTTACATTGATATTCTTATTACTTTTTTCCTGATTATTGTCATTAACAATTATATTAGGAATCTTACATTTTTTAGCTAAAATTATAGCCTGAGCAGAAGTGGTTAGGTTTTAACTATCAGTAGTTTTTGCATAGGATCAGAGAATGTTCTTCTCTTAACCTTTTCTTACAAATGATTCCCCTACAGTCTCTTCCACATATACTTTATCAAGCTAATGTTTCATTTTACTCAAGCAAATTCTCAGGAGCTTGATATTTATTGCCAAAGCCTAACTTCTCTGTACATTTACTTTAGGGATTTTCTAATTTATTGTATTTACTTTTTTTCTCTAGGCACAGGGGCAGAGCCAGGGGCAGCCATCCTCAAGTATTGTAACAGGGGTTTCATCTTCCCAACCCATACAACACTCTCAGCAGGTGAGAATAATTCATTGCTACAATTTATGAATTAGCAATAGCCAGTACACTGTTTTACATTTTTTTAAAATTAAATTTCTGATGTAAATGGCCTAAGTTTTTGAAAGGAAAATCAAGAGGCATAACTTATCTCGTATTCAGTAACATTTTATAAAATCTCCTTTATTTAATGTATTTTTGAGCAATATACTAGATTAAAAGAATCATTGATGCTGGTAAAATGTATCTGCCTTCTTAAACAGATAATTCAATACACATTTTAATAATATAAAGAATATCAATTTTATTTCTTATATATATGACTTGTTCTTTTGTGAGCATCATCACTAGTGATATTTGTAATAATTATTTGCGTGGAAATAATGCTTTTTGGATCAATTGAATATTTGTTAACTATTTCAAATAAAATATATAGTTACTGTATGGTACATAGTTTCCTACAAAGTGTTTTTGAACCACCAAATTGTAAGTTGGCTTCGTTCCTTTTGATTTTTGAAACAGAGCCTTTAATTATTTGTTGTTGTTGTTCATCCTTACCTGAGGATGTATTTATTGATTTTTAGCGGGAGGGAGGAAGAGAGAGAAACAGAAACATCATCTAACTGTTGCCTCCCATATGCAGCCCAACTGAGGATTGAACCAAAGGATTGAACCTTTTTGGTATAGGTGACAACACTCCAACCAATTGAGCAACCTGGCCAGGACCAAAGCTTGTAATTCTTATTACAAATTTCCTGCTTTTCCAGCATGTGACCATGTAGTCATATGATACTAGTTTAAGATCAGGTGTTCTTTGTACAAGGTTAATTTGGCTATATACACATTTAACTCTGTGAACACATCTATCTTATAGAATGTGGATGTTGGGAATTTTATATGCTTTGTCTTTCTCCTGCTGTTTCTTCCAGACAAATATTTGAATGTATATATGTTTATAGTTGAGTAGTCACATTTTGCCAACCTTAAATAATTCTGTTTTAATATTAGCAACTCCCAATAAGAATATAGATTAAGTCGAAACCAGTTTGGCTCAGTGGATAGAGCTTCAGCCTGCGGACTGAAGGGTCCCAGGTTCGATTCCAGTCAAGGGAATGTGCCTTGGTTGCGGGCACATCCCCAGTAGGGGGTGTGAAAGAGGCAACTAATCGATGATTCTCTCTCATCGATGTTTCTGACTCTCTATTACTCTCTCTTCTTTTTTGTAAAAAAATCAATAAAATATATTTTAAAAAAGAAGAAGAAGAATATAGATTAAAAGTTATATAAAGCTGGTTGAGGATAGAAGCATTATCATGGATTCCAGTTTCCAGAGCCAATACCAATAATCTGAGCAAATATAAATGTGTACTCTGTTTTTCCCTTTATATAGGAATTTCTTATATAACTATTTAGACAATTCCATAAATATCAGAATTAGGTAGCTGACTCTTCTGTGGACAAAATATTTCTAAATGACTGTCTCTGCAATACAAATAGGATCAATTTATGTTTGTGTGTGTTTGTTTTTTTAATATAATTTTTATTTTGTGACTTATTTTAAATACTAGAGGCCCTTTGCACAAAATTCATGCACAGGCGTGGAGGGTGGTGTCCCTCAGCCCAGCCTGCACCCTCTCCAATCTGGGACCTGCTCAAGGGATAACCCAATGGGATCAGCCTAAACGGGCAGTCGGACATTCCTCTCACAATCCAGGAATGCTGGCTCCCAACTGCTCACCTGCCTTCCTTCCTGAATGCCCCTATTGCTTCTGCCTGCCAGCCTAATCACCCCCTAATCACTCCCATGCCAGCCTGATGGATGTCTAACTGCTCCCCTGTCATCCCTCCTCTGCCTGCCTGGTCACCCCTAATTGCCCTCCCCTGCAGGGTTGATCACCCCCAACTGCCCTCCCTTGCAGGCCTGGTGCCTCCCAACTGCCCTCCTCTGCTGGCCATCTTGTGGTAGCCATTTTATGTCCACATGGAGGCAGGATCTTTGACCACATGGGGGCAGCCATATTGTGTGTTGGAGTGATGGTCAATCTGCATATTACTCTTTTTATTAGATAGGATAGAAGCCTGGTGCATGGGTGGGGGCCAGCTGTTTTGCCCTGAAAGGTGACCTGGGTCAGAGCGGGGATCCCTTAGGGTGTTGGCCAGGGGCCTTTAGTGGTTTACAGGCCAGCCACGCCCCCTGCCAACCCAAGTGGAGGCCCTGGTATCTGGAATTTATTTACCTTCTACAACTGAAACTTTTAGCGTGGAGCAGAGCCAAGACTCTGATTGCTCTCTGGCCATCACCATTTCTATTTGGATTTGTTTACCTTCTATAATTGAAACTTTGTATCCTTGAGTGGAGGCTTAGGCCAGCTAGGGCAGGCAGAAAGCTTGGCTTCTTACATTGCCTGGGAAATCCAAGCCTCCTTCCTGCTCTCTGTGGCCTCAGCCATCTTGGTTGGAGTTATTTGCATACTCACTCGATTAGCTGGTGGGGGTGGCTTGTGGTATAGTGGAGGTGTGGTCAATTTGCATATTACTCTTATTAGATAAGATAGCATAATATTTAAATTAAATAGAATCATAAAATTGAGTCAAGTATTTGCAGTTTAAAATACTTAATTTTTCCATGGTCATATAAATCTGTAAATGGATAGAACTAAAAATTACAAGTCAGAATTCTAGGTTTCTATAGTGTTCTTTTCTTCTGTATTAAAGTTCTATAGGGAGTTAAGATTCTGTAAAGGTACCCAAGAAGCTGCACTTATTTGTTTTAGCTACTGGGGTTCCATAAATTTAAAAAAAAAAAAAAAAAAAAAAAAAAAAGATTTTAATCTGTACTATATGAGTAGAGCCTGTTTTTACATATGATTTTTATTTTACCCCTTAGGAAACCATATCTCTAGTTTTATTAGAGCTAGGCAAGAAATATATTTTAGCTGAAATTTACTTTATTTCATGGATTTCTGAAATATAATGGAAAAGGGACTTGTTTTTATTTTTCATGTTTTTATTGAGTACCTTTTAGTGATATGAGGTACTAAAAAATAGCTTCTTTTACTGGAAAACTTCGTTTGTTGCCATAAGAAAACTCATGAGCGACCCTACTTAGTAACTTCTTCTCTAGGGTACATGTAAAATCATCAGGTATTTCTTAGTTTCTATTTAATTGAGGTTCATGAATATATTTTTTATTCAACACTCATGTCCAACAGATAGTACACAGTCAGGATACGCTGGTTTGAACCACACACACACAAAAAAGGCTGATTGGAATGAGCTGATAGAATCCAAATCTTGATATAAGCATGATTCTGCATTTATGCTGTTGGGAGAAATAATCATATACCCAAATATAAGATAGGGATTTTTTTTTTTTTTCAAATTTATCATATTCTTTCGTATAAAGGGAATCGCCATATATTCTAGCCTTGATCATACTTTCATATCACAGAATCTTAATGTCCTTTATTTAGAATAATAATAAAAAAATATTAATGAAATAAAACTGATGAGAACAAATGTAAGGATCTTAAAAATAGTGTATATGTTTGGAAATATTTATAGACAAATTCCGACAGAATTGGTTTTAAAACAAATGTTAATAAACTAAGCATAGACTTGGTTCTTATTCTTAGGTGAATGACTATTCCAAGTCAATCCTTTACTCTTCCCGGATTGTATGTCATTGTAAACAACTTATTTACTTTAAGAAGTTAATACAAAGATAACATGAATATAAGTCTATAAGACAAATGCAAAAAAAAATCACCTCTCCCAATATTACTCAAACAGATGCTTGTCACTGCAAATTTTACCTCAAGATGCAAAGGGAAAGTATTATGTTATGTTCCAGAACACTATAGCATAGCTTCAGTAAAGACAAAGACACCGATGTATTACATACAAAGAGTTTAAATGATAGAGGAGGTAGCAATACTTCTAAATTACTATACTTATAAAAGCAATCATATTTAGGTATATAAATTAATACCTTTGATAAATGTAGTATTTTCGTGTAAATTCCTTAGAGTTTAAATATATTCAAGTTTACCAAAAAGGTTTGCCAGTTTTTTGTTCTTTTCAGTGGGAAAATGGAATTTTCTTATATTCAGAGTTGCTTATAGTTGCATAAGTATGATAGATAAATTTTAATTGCTGAAAATATTTTACATAATTCAACAGCCATTTGTCCTCGTTTTTTTAAAAGTTAAAATAAGAAAAATGGCCAAAACTGGTTTGGCTCAGTGGATAGAACTTTGATCTGCGACTGAAAGGTCCCGGGTTCGATTCCAGTCAAGGGCATGTACATTGGTTGCAGGCACATCCCCGGGGGGGGGGGGGGGGGGGTGCAGGAGGCAGCTGGTCGATGTATCTCACTCATCGATGTTTCTAGCTCTCTATCCCTCTCCCTTCCTCTCTGTGAAAAATCAATAAAATATATTTTTTTAAATAAAAATAAAAAACTGCATTTTCAGAAATAGTTAAATAAGAATAAAATAAACATGACTACTGGTGATTTTATTTTTCTAAAAAATCAACCAAAATAGTCATCATCGGAACATTCATGCCATTGGTAAATGAAATGAAAACATATTAAAGAACACTTTTTATGTAACAGGCATGTTTTTATTTTAACAAAGGAAAATGTACTTACACATGTAAAAAAATCATAAAGGTGTGCACCAAATAATAGTGGTTGCCACTGAGAAATGGGTTGGGGTATTTTCATTCAACTTTATAATCTGATGTATTGGTTAAAATGTTTATTACAATCAGGTATTGTTTTTATATTACAATTTTTTAATTAGTTACAAGTATTAGAAAATCTTAAAGTTCAGATTTTGTTACACAAAAGGTAGCCATTAATTTATTATAAAAATTAGTATTTTGAGTACAAATATTTGTCATGCATTAAGTTTTAGCGTGTTACACCAGAGTGCCTCACAAATGTCATTCCCTTTGTCCTGCTTTGACTTGAATTGACAAGTGTCCTTATTTTCAAAGAATGAAACTTCATTTTGGCAGTAAAGTGAACAGTCTGTAAGGTGTTACAGCTAGTAAATGATAAAACTAAAATTGCTAATACAATGCTCTTCTCACTATTTTGTATCTATAATTAGAGTTATTTTTCAAGTAAATTGATTATGCAGTTTATAAAATATGTTAATGGAAAAATTAAAGGGGAGATTGGATTATTATAGTTTAATAGAGGACCAAAGTGAGAGCAGATAATGTAGAAATAGGGAAAAAATGGGTAGTGGGGTTGGAGGAGGAAGGACCTATTTGGATATGGTATCTAAAGATCTTTATAATTGACCTGCTATTGAGGCAAGGGGGAATGTTGAGTGAAGAATCAGTGGTGACTCAAGTTTTGAAACATCAGTTAATTGTTTTTGGTGGTACCACACAAGTAAAGAGCACCAGAGGAAAAAAAGAAATGTAAAGGGAAATTGATGAATTTGGGTTTGTGTATGTCTTGATTACTAAAATCATTTTCAGACACTGAAGGCCTTAAGCAAACATAATTCCTTAAAAACATGCTATTAATGACTTGAAATAAAACTGAGTAATTATATTTTATTCTCAGGCACAGGGAATACAGCAGACAGCACCCCCTCAACAGACAGTGCAATATTCACTTCCACAGACAACGACCTCCAGTGAGGCCACTACTGCACAGCCCGTGAGTCAGCCTCAGGCTTCACAGGTCTTGCCTCAAGTATCAGCTGGAAAACAGGTAAATAGTTTCTTAGAGTATGCTAAGGGAACTCAGTGTAACCTGTTCTTTCATGTAGATAGACTTCTACCTTCTCTAATGGTGAAATATCAAAGTTGGTTGTTGTTTTTTGCAAAAAATGAAGTTAAAAAAAAAATGCTCTTTTTGTGCATATGTATTAATGTAAATGGATATATACTGAGCAGTGACCATCTAAAAATGTTTAACTTTTAGGTTTGACAAGGGTTAGAACTGATGAGTTAATAAATGGTACATTTTCTAGAATTGTGTTAGCTATGTAATATCCCAGGGAATATGCTGTATTTTCATAGATTTATGCTTTGTTTTATCCCTCATTGCCTAATGACAGTAAGTAATAAAAACCCATTTTATGGAATGATCTCTTTTCTAAGGCATACTTCCAGTCACTTGAAAAGTACCCCATAGAAGGAATGCTCTTCTGAATTACCTTTTTCCAACTTCAACACTGCAGCTTGTTGTGCTTGTATTTTGGCTCAATTTATCGTTTCTGTCATATTTTATTGCTCTGAGATATTATCAGTTGTAAAATGCATCAGTGTTTCATGTATCACTAAGTACTGACACACCATTAATTATAAGATATATCTTAGTTTCACAAATGTTAAAATTTGTGCTGGAGAGGGATAATTACATCAAGAATCAATGAAATACAGTAAATACACCTACTTTTATAGGTCTTTGTTACAGGCAATATTGATGAAATGTAATTCCATTGGGAAGAAATTCATTTGAATTTCAGTAACTGTTGTAATAGCAGTCATAGGTTTAGTGACTGCAAACCTGCCAATGAATTATGGTATGGGAAATATATCTCAATTAATGCTATAAACAAAAAAAACCTTACCTGTGGAAGGGTCCTCATTTTATTGTTGAACAATGAAGCATTAGTAAACTTCTCTACAAAGATCTGGAACGGTAGCCAATCAGCCTCTTTGTATCCTGCAATCCTTTCCCTATTTTTATGTGGCATATTAACTTACACTAATGTATCCAGGGTTTCTTTTTATTGTTTCCTTTTTAAATTTTCATTCCTTTGAGCTAATACATAAAGCTTGCTTTGGTGGCCTTGCCTTTTTTCTTTTTTAAATCTGTCTGTTTTGTTTTCTTTACCTTCTCAGCTTCCAGTTTCCCAGCCAGTACCAACTATCCAAGGCGAACCTCAGATCTCAATTGCAACACAACCCTCAGTTGTTCCAGTCCATTCTGGTGCTCATTTCCTCCCTATGGGACAGCCACTCCCAGCTTCCTTACTCCCTCAGTACTCTGTCTCTCAAATTCCTATCTCTGCTCCTCATGTGTCTGCGGCTCAGACAGGTTTCTCAACCCTTCCCATCACAATTGCAGCTGGCATTAATCAGCCTCTGCTCACTTTGGCTTCATCGGCTACAACAGCTGTGATCCCAGGGGGATCAACTGTGGCTTCTAGTCAGCTTCCAACCCTTCTGCAGCCTATGACTCAGCTGCCAAGTCAGGTTCACCCACAGCTTCTGCAGCCAGCAGTTCAGTCCATGGGACTACCAGCTAACCTTGGACAAGCTGCTGAGGGTCCACTTCCCTCTGGAGATGTTCTATACCAGGTATTGTGTTGCTTAGCAAAAACAAGGGCACCGGAGGGTTTGGTTCTTATAATAGACAATCAAGGACTTGAGAATATAGTAGTTAAATGTCAGAATAACTAGCAAAAACAGTAGTTGCTGATCTTTCCTAGAGAAACTAAAACAGTAAAATTCTGAGAAAGAATAGGGTGATGATGTCTAACAATTGATTCATTTCCATTTTCCTAAAGGTACCTCTTGGGAGAAAAATGGTTCCCTTAAAACTCGGTGTAAGCTAATTGAATGCTAGATATAGCTACTAATGTACATCAGGCTACTTTTCTAATAGGAAGAATAAATAGAGTAGTTAACAAGGTATCAATAAAAAGCTTCAGGGTTTGGATTTAGGAGATTTGCAGGTCATGATATGACTGGAATGACTGATACCTTGAAGATCTTTTTCATTCTTCCACTTAAGAATGACTAGAAAGTAGATATTTTTTTTCTGGAAGGAATTACGTATATTCCTCCTATTTAAATAGTCTTTAGGAGGAAAGAAACAAGCAAACAGCAACTTAAAGTACAGTTGTAGAGTCCTGTCCTCTAAATTGAAATCAGAAATATTTAAATTATTAGAAAAAGAGTGGGCTACTATTCTTGCTTTGTGCATTCTCCCTCTCTCTCTCTCTCTCTCTCTCTCTCTCTCTCTCTCTCTCTCTCTCTCTCTCTCTCTCTCTCTCGCATGTCATGCTGTTTTGCTAATTTGATGACCTGACTTGCACTAACTCACCTTCCTCATTTCTATCACAGGGCTTCCCACCTCGATTGCCACTACAATATCCAGGAGATTCAAATATTGCTCCTCCTTCCAGCGTGGCTTCTGTTTGTATCCCTTCTACAGTCTTATCCCCTCCCATGCCTACAGAAGCATTAGCTACACCAGGTTACTTTCCTACAGTGGTGCAGCCTTACATGGAATCAAATCTTATAGTTCCGGTGGGCAGTACAGGAGGACAGGTTCAAGTGTCCCAACCAGCAGTGAGTTTAGCACAAGCCCCCACTACATCCTCCCAGCAAGCAGCTCTGGAGGTAAATGGTATTTCTGCATGTTTATATCTAAAACATATATAATGGGGGGGAAAATTCAGAGCAGAAACATAGGTTCGCTGGTTTAGAACTCATTTGGAGACTATTTCAAACTAACTTCTAAATGACTTTTTCTTACAGCAGAATGAAATGCCAATGTGGGGGCCTTGTTGCCACTGGCTGTTTTGTTGGGAAGTGAGTGTGCCTTGGAGAAGATTAACCCTATTAGCACTTCACTTTTCTAGCTAGTACTTTAGCCATTATTCTTCTCCTTTCACAAATCCTTGCCATTGGCAATCATAAGAATATCTTATCCTGCTGTGCTCCCAGTAATCATGTTTGCCCTACTAGGAGAAAGATCTGAATCACCTTTGCACTTTACTCTGTCTGCCCTATTGCATACTTCTGGTAAGATGCTGGCTGCATGGCAAATTATAGTTTCTCACTATCTAGCAACTATATTGGCTGGTACCACACCATGCAGTCTATATAAGAAACTAGCTTTAGAAACTTCCTTTGGAATTTTAAGTCCACTATCTGTAGATGCTGAATATTGATAATTACTAGTAAATTTAGTGCTTCTAGGACTTAGAGGAGGGATAAGAAAAATAAAAAGAGTAGCTTTTTGGAAATGGTGAATAAAAAATAAAATGTATTACTGCCAAGATTTGAATTATCCTTTCTGTTCACAGAGTACTCAGGGAGTCTCTCAAGTTGTTCCTCCAGAGCCAGTTCCAATAGCACAGCCACAACCTACCCAGCCTACCACTTTGGTCTCTTCTATAGACAGGTAAGTAAAATCCTCTATCCTTGACTGGTAGTAGGATGGTACGAAACTTAAAAATATCAAAACTTTAAATCTCGTATTGTAAACTGAACTCTTTTTTTTTTTTTTTTTTTTTAAGTGCACATTCAGATGTTGCTTCAGGTATGAGTGATGGCAATGAGAATGTCCCATCCTCCAGTGGAAGGCATGAAGGGAGAACTGCAAAACGGCATAATCGAAAATCTGTAAGAAGTCGATCTCGTCATGAAAAGACTTCTCGCCCAAAATTGAGAATTTTGAATGTAAGTATTGCTGATATGTGAGTTTCATATCATTTATATTATGTAGATATTTCTAAGTCTCAGGTGTATTGATGAAATTCTAATCATTCAAATGATACTGTTAAATTTCATATTTCTATTATAAGACTTTATTTAGCTTTTAGAAAAAGAACAGTTTTACATTTCTTTCAAACTTTTCAGTAAGATGAGTGTGTGTCTCAAAGGCTAATATTTTCTTTATATCTTAAGAAGCAGAGTATCAGTGCCAGGAATAACAGTGGTAACATCAGGCTTATGTTCAAGTGATAATCTGTATTACTTTCTCAAATTCAGTAACAAAGGTAAATGTGGCCATCAAAGATACCTTTTCTTTTTCTTTTTAGGTTTCAAATAAAGGAGATCGGGTAGTAGAATGTCAGTTAGAGACTCATAATCGGAAAATGGTTACATTCAAATTTGATTTAGATGGTGACAATCCCGAGGAGATAGCAACAATTATGGTATGTCTCCATTTGGAGTTCCAATTTTGCTTTAGTACTTGATCTAAGTAGCCACTGCCCTAGCCAAATATATAGTATTTTGTAATCTATTTTTACACTTATTTCTATGTGAATATAACCAGTACACCAAGCCTGTGATTTGGATGTTTTTGTCTAGGACATGTCTAATTAGTATTGAAGAATTTTCATATCAAGTAAGTAATAATATAGGTGTTATGCAGATAGGGCAGTCATGAAGTTATAATTGAATCACTTAAAGCTTGAGAAGCACTGTACTAATCAGACTGACATCACATTTCTTTTACAGGTGAACAATGACTTCATCCTAGCAGTAGAGAGAGAGTCTTTTGTGGATCAAGTGCGGGAAATTATTGAAAAAGCTGATGAAATGCTCAGTGAGGATGTCAGTGTGGAACCAGAGGGTGACCAGGGATTGGAGAGTCTACAGGGAAAGGATGACTATGGCTTTTCAGGTTCTCAAGTAGGTTCAACAATTCCATAGTGAAGGTTTGTTTATTTAACGTGTTACTGTAGTGCCAAACAAAATGTCCAGTGATCATCTGTCTGAGATGATCAAACATTTATGTTCTCTTTGCATGTGGCAATTTGCCTAATTCAGATTGCATTGAGAATGAATTGAACTACTTTTGTTTGTTGTAGAAATTGGAAGGAGAGTTCAAACAACCACTTCCTGCATCTTCCATGACACAACAAATAGGTGAATCTCTTTTCTTTCCATGTTTACTCTTACTTTTGACCAAAGTGTGCTAATAATGAAATCTTAAAGCTTCGTGTCAGTGACATATATACAGTATAATAATAATGCAATCAAATGATTTGTTTCTTTTAAATTAGGCATTCCTGCCAGTTCTTTAACTCAAGTTGTTCATTCTGCTGGAAGACGGTTTATAGTGAGTCCTGTGCCAGAAAGTCGATTACGAGAATCAAAAGTTTTCACCAGTGAAATATCAGATACGGGTAAGGAATTGCTTCTACCACATAATTCTATAAATTTTGTGGCATCTCTGCTCTGTTGGAAGCGAGGTCATCTAGCAATAGTTCAAACAATGACACATACAATAAAAGAGAGTAGAAGATTTTTAGATAAATATATGAAAAAAGGAAATAAGTGATGAATAGAGAAGATTAAAGAAAAAGAGTCAAAAGGGATAGCCATAACTAGATACAGTCCATGTAGTAGATACTGTGTAGATACAGTAATATGAGTTTGTTTTTCCATTTAGTTCTATTGCATATGCTTTGAGGTTACTTCATGGTTTTGTGTTTGTTTTCAGAAATAGGTAATCGTATATTCTAACTTACTTTGATCTAACTACTTTGCTGTTTTAGAGCCTATCATTTCCTTGGGAGTGTTGTGTTGTTTTAATATATTTTTATTGATTTCAAAGAGAAAAGGAGAGGGAGAGAGAGATAGAAACATCAGTGATGAGAGAGAATCATTGATTGGCTGCCTCCTACATGCCCCACACTAGGGATCAAGCCCACAGCCTGGGCATGTGCCCTGACTGGGAATTGAACTATGACCTCATGGTTCATAGGTCAACTGAGCCATATCAGCAGGGCCCTTGGAAGAGTTTTTAAACTTTGTTGGTATGTGGCCTAAAACAGATTGCTAGGACAGTCTTTTGAATCTACCCTTTAACAATGGACTGATTCTGAATTTTTTCTTTTCCTTTGTAGTTGCTCCCTCTACGTCTCATGGAATGAACTTGTCTCACTCTGCTTCATCCCTTAGTCTACAGCAGGCCTTTTCTGAACTTAAAAATGCCCAGATGACAGAAGGACCCAATACAGCACCTCCCAACTTTAGTCAGACAGGACCAACATTTCCAGTAGTAACTCCTTCCATGGCTAGCATTGCTGGAGTCCCCACCACAGCAGCAGCCACATCTTCAGTATCAGTCCCTGTAACTAGCTGCCCTCTTAATGACATTTCCACATCAGTAATTCAGCCTGAGATTACAGTGCCCATTGAAAAGCGGATTACCACCTGCACGAGTGTAACTTCAAGTGAACTCTCTATACCACCTGTGTCTGAAGAATCACCAGTACTTTCCAGCGTGGTTTCAGGCATCACGATACCTGCAGTTGTCTCAACATCAGCAACATCCCAGTCAGTTCTGGCTCCCACATCTGGGAGTGCTGTTTCTAGTATAGGTACTTTCCCCTCTAGACCGGTTTCAACAACTTCAGCCTCTGCAGTGAGCAGTGCTGCTGTCCCAGGGGCTAATCTACCACCTGCATTATCTCAGCCGTCAGCAGGCAGTACTACTACAGGGACAGCCACATTAACCTCAGTTTCTACCACCACTCCATTCCCAAGCGTAGTTTCACAGCCATCTCTTCAGCTTAGCAACAGCACCTCTGCTCCTACTCTAGCTGAGACAGTGGTGGTTAGTGCACACTCACTTGATAAAATATCTCATAGCAGTACAGCTGGATTGACTTTGTCCCACTCTGCACCATCCTCCTCCTCTTCTGCAGGAGCAGCAGTATCTAGTTCCGTTTCTCAACCTGGTGGGGTGCATCCTTTGGTCATTCCCTCAGTTATAGCTTCTACTCCTGGTCTTCCCCAAGCAGCAGGACCTACTTCTACACCTTTATTACCCCAAGTACCTACTATTCCACCTTTGGTACAACCTGTTGCCAATGTGCCTGCTGTACAGCAGACACTTATTCATAGTCAGCCTCAACCAGCTTTGCTTCCCAACCAGCCTCATACACACTGTCCTGAAATAGATGCTGATGCACAGCCCAAAGCTCCTGGGATTGATGACATAAAGACTCTAGAGGAAAAGCTGCGATCTCTCTTCAGTGAACACAGCTCATCTGGAACTCAACATGCCTCTGTCTCATTGGAGACTTCACTAGTAGTAGAAACCAGTGCCACACCAGGCATTCCAACCACTGCTGTTGCACCCAGCAAACTCATGACTTCAACTACAAGTACTTGTTTACCACCAACCAGTTTGCCATTAGGAACAACTGGATTGCCTGTTATACCAGTGGTAACACCTGGGCAAGTTTCTACTTCAGTCAGCTATGTTTCAGCCCCAGTCAGCACTACACCAGGAGTGAAACCTGCAACTGTTCCGTCAAAGCTACCTTTAACTAAGGCTCCAGTAAGATTCTTGTTTTGAAATAATTTAATAACTATAACCACTCTTTTTCCTCCTAATATATGCATTTTTTCCACTCAGCCTTGCAAATTACAAATGAAGTTATAAAATTGTCTGGCTGGTAATAGGCACTTGGTATCCTATATAATAAAAAGGTTATAAATATGCAAATTGACTATCACTCCAACACACAAGATGTCCGCCCCCATTCGGATCCAAGATGGCCTGCAGGAGAGGGCAGTTGTGGGCAATCAGGTCTACAGGGGAGGGCAGTTTGGGGGACCAGGCTGGCAGGGGAGTAGTTAGGGGATGATCAGGCTGGCAGGCAGAAGTGGTTATGGGCAATCAGGCAGGCAAACGGGAGTCACTAGACACACACACACACACACACACACACACACACACACACACACCCTGTGTGCACAAATTTCGTGCACCGGGCCTCTAATTTTTTTAATAAATTTATTTATTTATTATAAGTCTTTTATAAATAAGTTATTTTAGTGTATATGTACATTGAACATGAGATACTTTTCCTTTTGAAATATGATAGGATTTGGTGGTTATCTTTACTGCATGATTTTTTTAGAATTATAATCAGGTAAAATTACAGCCTTTTCTTCCCAATTGGTACAAATTAAAGGAATTTATCCCAAAAGAGAGCTAAATGCTTCTACTGGCAATTATACATATCCTGTTTCCCCCAAAATAAGACAGTGTCTTATATTAATTTTTCTCCCAACGTTGCGCTAGGTCTTATTTTCAGGGGATGTCTTATCTTTCCATGAGCTAGGTCTTATATTCGGAGGATGTCTTATTTTCAGGGAAACATCATAGTAACAAGTTCATAATCTTTGTTTCAATAAGAATGAAGCAAATTATCTGCCTTGCTTAGATTACACAGATGTATAATATAGGGTCAATAAAAAATTGAAAGTTAATAAATGTAATAGAAAGGAAGAGAAAAGAATCTAATCTTAGAAATAAAATAACTAGAAGGTGTTTTCAAATTCTGCTATGGTGGGTTTTCTCTCATTGTGCTATCTTCAATCTCTCTGATCTTTTCCAAATAATAAGGCTATATACTTTTCTCCTACTGTATTATATGCATTGCTGTTGATAGGAAATCCTGTTAACAGTAGTTAATATAGAAGCTTTATTCAGACAGAAAACAAATTGCTTGATAGTATTGGATTTCTGATGCCTTTTGTTATCAGGCCTGACCCTTGGTTACTTCTGAACTGTTTTCGTTTTCTCAGAAAAGTCTTGTTTGTTTTAGGAAAGCCTGATTACACTGTACCAAAGAAGTGGTTCAAAAATATCTGGACCCTGCTTCTCATGTCCACACAACCTTTGTTCCCTCTACTTTCCCTAAAGAATTAACTTCTTATTAAATTTTACTATTTATTTTATTGGTATGTCACAGTGTCCCCTATAATAATATCATGGTTACAGTGTTCTTTATTTAAGAGTGTAACCCAGGTGACAAGCACGCCTTAACTAGATACATATTATTCTTATGCTTCTGCAATTTAAATTGTTGATTTGTTCTCCAGTCTTTACATTTCAGTGTCTCATGGACTTGAATTTTTCTTCATTGTCTGTAGGTTGTGTCATTGGGTACTGAACTTCTAGCTGGTGTCCCATCCAGTGAGCAGCCGCCACCTTTTCCAGGACCTTCACTATCTCAGGTGCCCCAAGACTTGGCATATTTCTTTTTGTGCCCCTATTTTCTTTCACTAAGGGTATTTAAATTTTCCATTGTGGGATCATGACTTCTGGTTTCTATTTGGTTTTGACTTAGTAACAGCTTTCTTTTAAAATAGCGTAGCTAATAACCCAAGCCCTATTTAAAGTAAGAAGCCTCATAGTTAATTTATTTGTAGTGTTGCTTCAAGTCATCCAGAAAACATTTAATATTAATATTTTTTTCATATTTTACAAAGGAAGAAAATAGCAAAGTTACATGTATACAGAATTAACTTTGAAAGCTCCTTAGGAAAGTGTACCATACTAATAATTGATAATACCCTTTTTCTATGAGTTTACTGCAACCATTTTTTTTAATTTGACATTTCTTTTAATGACCATTGAATTAAGTAATTGGCTTATATATAGGTGGTTATAGGGTTATGTTTCATGAAAAAGATATATCTTTAAATACAAAAATCTCTCAGCTCAGGTGAAATGAGATTCCTCATAGAGGAACTTAGACCAGTGACGTGAATGTGAGATTCCTGTCTCACAGTTCTGCCCACTGGGTAGAATGATGGTCAGAATTGCTTACATTTATTTAAATTCTTATCTTTTCCACCCTAATCTACCACCCACACATTTAGTTGAATTCCCATAGGAAGTACTCGTTATGCACCCATTGTAACCATGAAAAAGCTTCTGTGTGGGTCAAACCTAGTAAACATTGAAACTAAATTAGGAATTTACTTTAGAACAAAATAAGAAGGACATAGTAAATTGCTAATTTGAAAAGGCTGAATTTGTCTTTGCTTCTTTAATCCCCAGATATACAGTAGCACATAATTTAATGAACTTACCATAATAAAGTTTTAACTCCCCAACAGAGAACTCACTTCATTAGCCACTAAGTTTTGAAAAAAATTGCATTGTGGAAGTCTGTAAGTTGGGAGTTTCAAACCTATTTTCTCATCAGAAGCATCTATTTTATATATATAAAAGTATAAGTGACCGAATGACCAGTTGCTGTGATGGGCACTGACCATCAGGGGGCAGACACTTAATGCAGGAGCTGCCCCCTGGTGGTCAGTGTACTCACACAGTGGGAGTGCCACTCAGTTTACCAACCTGTCCTGGCTGCCCACCAGCCTGGTGGCAGCCACTCCCTCCCTCATTAGTCCTGCATGTGCAATCTCCAGAGGACAGGCCAGTCACAGAGTGCCACCAGCCTGATCCCAACGGCGCCCGTTGGCCTGGAAGTCAGCCTCAGACACTGTGGCCGCTTCCCCTTCCTAGACGCTCAGCAAGGAATAATATAAAAGCTGCTGCCAAGTGGCTCCCAACAACCAGCATGAATGTCAGTGGGACAGATCCAGATCCCTGGCTGGCAAGGGCATCCCGCTGCCCACCCAGAGAGCCAATCACATCCTGGCCCCCACCCCTTAACCCCCTTAGGACCCCACCAATGCACAAATTTGTGTACCGGCCTCTAATGTAATTATAATTTCTAACAGAGCTGTAAGTGTGATGAGAAAAAAGCAGTAAGTCGTGAAGGGGTAAGTGGATAGTGCCTACATATAGGCAGGGAATAATAGCATAAGTAAAAGCTATGGAAGAATAGGTTGCTGGAAGTCAAGATAGGTGGATGTTAAGTGACTGTGGCAAGAGAAGATGGATAGTAATAAGACCTGATTAATAGGATGGAATACTCAGACCTCCAATTCCTCCTTCCTGTCATTTATAAGGCAGGTATAAGAATATAGGTTATTAAAACTTTATTAAAATAATAATATTCCTGATAGTGCCATCTTCTATTTGTAAGACCAAGGTCTCAGAAAGATTTACCAAACTGAAAAAGAAAATAGGGAACATGTGATACTCTTAATCTACCAATAGATCTTGATACATTTTTCAGAATATACTTTAAGGAGAGGACAAATAGACAATTTTTCTATCACTTTAACATTAAACATAAAAGGTAAGAAAGAAAACTTAGAAACTAAAAACATAAATGTAATAGTTTCTCTAAGGTTTGAGGTTGACATAACGTTTTTGAAAGACTGGTAAATCATTCAAGCAATATTTCTAAGCTGAACTTGGCATATTGAATTTCATATTCAATGAATAGACATGTTATATAATGTCAATCTAAAGCATAAAACAGTATGTCCTATATAAATGGGCTATATATAGGGGCTCCGAATATGCTAAAGAACTATATTTATTGTGGTCATTTTCATTCAATTCCAGCAACCTCTGGAAGATCTTGATGCTCAGTTGAGAAGAGCACTTAGTCCAGAGACTATTGCAGTAACATCTACAGTTGGTGTAAGTTTTTAAAATCTTGATAAAATCTTCCCATAACCTTAATGTATTACATTCCTAGAACATAAACTGTAAACTCTGGACTATTAATACCTTTAACACCTATTTTGTCTGTCTTTGTTCAAGCCAGCAGAAATGAAACCAGTTAATGAAAAATTGACACTGACCCAGTAGTGTAACTGGAAAATATTTTATTTGAAAAATACTTTTTCTTTGGTTAGAATTATACCAAAGATTTTGTACTTATGATTCAGAGGAGACTATACTCTAAAATTTTAACTTCTTCCTTTCAGGCATGTGACATAATAATATTCTGATTAAAACTAGTTTTCTATGAATATTCAAGTTATACTCAAGTATTCATGCAAAAAATTAAGAAAGCAATGTAAAAGGGTTAATGCTCAATTTCTTCATTAAAATATGTCTTTCTTTACATTAGAACTGTTTTTAAGCTGTTAAAAAAAAAAATTCCCTCAGACATAAGTGTTTCTTCAAAACAGCAGGCCAAATTTTAAGACTGACCAAAGCTAAAGATTTTGTGGTATCTGTATCTGTGTTTTGCAGCCTGTGTCTGTGGTGCCTCCAACAGCAGTTACAGAAGCAGGAGCACAGCCTCAGAAGGATGGTAAGAAGCATATTATATAAGTATAGTAATTTAGAAGTATTGCTACCTCCCTATAAATGATTACTATTTCAAAGACACTTTCTTTTTTTTTTTTTTTCTTTTTTCTTTTTTAAGGGAGAACATGCAGTGAATAAAAATAGTTTCTTGCATAAAACCCTGTCATTAATTATCCCTAGGTTCTCGCTAAGAGAGATGAAAAAATTCAAGCACATATAAAAGTTAATTTGCTGATAACTTCGTGGCTTGTATGACACTAAATATATAGAGATAAACTTGAATAGCATGGATGGTAGAAATACAAATGTAAGATTTCAATTAATCAGTTTAAACATTTTTATCTCTTTTTGGAGTCATTAGAGTTGGCATGTCCATAAAATATAATCTCTTTAGAAAGGCATACTTCCAATTTAATTTTGCAAAAATTAGTTATATCATCAACTTAAATATTTTATTAGGACTTTTTATTATCCTGTGCTTAGTCATAAGTCTATATAAATTACTGCTATTCTAAAGTGTTGTAGTGGGTCTCTTTTCATTTAAACCATCAGTCCCACAGAATCCAGGAAATTTAGAGGTTCTGTTTTTTTTCTTGCCTTTTCCTTCAGAACCCAGTTTAATAGTGAAAATACATAAAGGTAAGCTATACTTATGCAATGTGATTTTTGTATACCACATGCTTAATATTAATTTTCCCTTTTTATAAAAATATATCTATTCTCAATACCACCTGACATAAATGTACTTCCCTGTATAACTATTTTTAAGATATATATATATATATATATATATATATATATATTTTTTTTTTTTTTAATTGATTTCAGAGAGGAAGGGAGAGAAAGATAAAACATTAATGAGAGAGAATCATTGACTGGTTGCCTCCTGTGTGACCACTACTGGGGATTAGGCCCACACCCTCGGCATGTGCCTTGACCAGAAATCAAAACATGACCGCCTGCCAGAACTGGTTTGGCTCAATGGATAGAGCGTCGGCTTGGGGACTGAAGGGACCCGGGTTCGATTCTGGTCAGGGGCATGTACCTTGGTTGCGGGCATATCCCCAGTAGGGGTTGTGCAAGAGGCAGCTGATCGATGACTCTCTCTCATCGATGTTTCTAGCTCTCTCTCTTCCTTCCTCTCTGTACAAAATCAATAAAATATATTTATAAAAAAAAATTAAAAAAAAAAAAAAAACATGACCGCCTGGTTCATAGGTCGATGCTCAACCACTGAGCCACACAGGCTAGTCTTTCGTATAACTTTTAATAAGATTACCTAAGTGCTTTTCTTCTTATCTTTTCTAAATGTTAACTTTTATTTAAAACCTCTCAAAATATTTTCAAGAGAATTGATTCTCTTGTAAAATAAGTCACTCGAAAAATCACTGGAACAAATGATAAATTCTAGAAATGGACAAACCACGGGAAAATAGAATATTAAAAAGGTGACCTTTCAAATCATAATGTAATGGGATATTTCAGTAAATGGTTTGGGATAATTGGACAGCCATCTGGGAAAAAAGCAAAAATCACTAGCCTTAAACCAAAATAAATTCCAAATGGATCAGTGATTTTTTTTTTAAATGATACTATATGAATGGTGCTGTAGAGAGAAAAAAGGAAACTTTTCCTTTATTCTTAAATTTTAACTGTCTAGATCAGAGTCAGTAAGCTTTTCCTGCAGAAGGCTAGAAAGTAAATATATTAGTCTTTGCTAGCCATACAATCTCTGTCACAACTACTCAAATCTATTGTAACACCACAGCAGCAATAGATAATACATAAATGAATGTGTTTCACTGTTTCCAATAAAATTTATTTACTAAAACAAGCAGTGGGCTGAATTTGATCCATGCATTGTAGCTTGCTGATCCCTCATTTAGAGAGAGGTGTTGTTGTGTTTAATATGTTTAATACCCAGCCCAGAAGTGGTAATAGATTTCAATTTTTCTACTTGGAAAACAACATGCCATTTTGTCCAAAGATAAATGAAAAACTGGGAAATGTATGCATGTGTGTGTATTTGTATCCCAAAAAGGGCTCCTTTGCTAATATTAAGAGTTCTATAAATTGAGCATGGACAAAAAAAAGATTAAGCCGAGACCGGTTTGGCTCAATGGATAGAGCGTCGGCTTGGAGGCTGAAGGGTCCCAGGTTCGATTCCGATCAAGGGCATGTACCTTGGTTGCAGGCATATCCCCAGTAGGGGGTGTGCAAGAGGCAGCTGATCGATGACTCTCTCTCATCAATGTTTCTATCTCTCTCCCTTTCTCTCTGTACAAAATCAATAAAATATATATATATATTTTAAAAAGATTAAAAAAAAGAAACATAGGCATGAAAATACTTACTTTATGATAACAGAAATGCAAAATAAAACCACAAGTGATAGCACTTATCGTTTCTCATTGGTAAATTCAGACATTTAATAGTCACCATTGACTTGGTATAGCCTCTTTGGAGGTAAATTTAGTTGTCTATGGAAGTTTTAAATGGCAATGGTTCAGCACTTCCATAGCTAGATATTTATTCCACAGACCTATAATAAAATATTTTAAAAAAAAAAAAAAAAGATAAGAAAAAAAAATATTGATTAGAGCATTTTTATAATAGCAAGAAGTTTGAATAACTTAAATGTTCAGTAGAGGCCTGGTTAAAATGTTGAACTTTTTTTTTTTTAAATTATATCTACTTTTTGCATACATTCAGTACAACACTATGCAGCCATTAAAAATAATGAAGCATCAATACAGAATGATCTCTAAGTTATAACATATGAAAATATCAAAATTCATATTCTACTGATTGTGTGAAATAAAGAAAAGCCAGTATAGATTATACATTTTATCTCTAGAAAAAAGTTCAAACAAGTGATTATCCCTAGAGAGGAACTAGGTGGCTTTAAAGTTGCTCAGAACTGCATGTTAATGGTTCTAACACCTTTACTGTCTTGTTCTAGGAATTTTCTAAGTGTTACCTAACCAGTTTGCCATAGCTGGGTTTTTGGGGGTTTTTTAAATATATTTTATTGATTTTTTTTTTTTTTTTTTTTTTTTTTTTTTTTTTTTTTTTTTTTTTTTTTTTTACAGAGGGAGAGGTTTAGACAGTTAGAATCATCGATGGGAGAGAAACATCGATCAGCTGCCTCTTGCACACCTCTCACCGGGGATGTGCCCACAACCAAGGTACATTCCCCTGACCAGAATTGAACCTGGGACCCTTCAGGCCACAGGCCGATGCGCTATCCATTGAGCCGAACCGGTCAGGACAATGGCTGGTTTTCATTTAAAAGTGGGTCTTAATAGCCCTAGCTGGTTTGGCTCAGTGGCTAGAACTCAGTGGCTAGAACTGCAGACTGAAGGATCCCAGGTTCAATTCCAATCAAGGGCATGTGCCTGGGCTGTAGGTTTGATCCCTGGGGATCGAGTAGGAGGCAGCCAGTCAATGATTCTCATCATTGATGTCTCTATCTCTCCCTGAAATCAATAAAAATATATACTTTTTAAAAATTGGGTCTTAATGTCCTAGGTCCGTGGTTGGCAAACTGCGGCTCTTTGGCCCTTTAAGTGTGGCTCTTCCACAAAATACCATGGCCTGGGCGAGTCTATTTTGAAGAAGTGGCGTTAGAAAAAGTTTTAGTTTAAAAAATGTGGCTCTCAAAAGAAATTTCAATCATTGTACTGTTGATATTTGGCTCTGTTGACTAATGAGTTAGCCGACCACTGTCCTAGGTGAAATCTCAGTGTTCCTTTCATTTATTTACATCTCTGAGTTAAAGAGTGAGTAACAGTCTAACTGCTTGTTAACCTTAGTTTTATAATATCTTCTAATATTATAGTTAAGCTGCAAAGCTACTTTGGTTATACAATACTCAGATTACCAGTGGGGGATACATTCCAAAACGTATCCAGTAGACGCCTGAAACTGCAAATAGTATGGAACCCTAAATGTTTACTATGATTTTTCCTATACATACACACCTATGATAAAGTTAAATTTATAAATTAAGCATGGTAAGAGACTAACAATGACTCATGAAAAATAGAGCAACTCTAATAATATACTATAATAAAAATTATGTGCATGTTTTCTCTCACTTTCTCTCTCAATATCTGGAATTACTATGGGTAACTGACACCACTGAAAGTGAACCAGTGGATAAGGCGGACTTCTGTAGGGAACTTATTCCTTCAAACATGCCATATCAACATACATGTGTACCAATAAAGGCAAGGGTAAATGATAAATTTTCAGACTTGGACAGTTTTCTCTAAACAATACAATTTTTCATACTAACGGTATCTTCTGGGAGAGCAAACAATAATTTTTTCCTTGTTAGACAAAGCCCAGGGTGAAAGCGAGTTAAGGAAATTTTCCCTGCCTCTAACAATTTTCACCTGATAATGTAGTTCCATTTTGCTGTATTTCTGGCCAGTGGGAAAAGAAGATAATTAGAGATGCTGATTTCTTTTCCTCCTCCATTTATTTGTTCTAGTGCCACAAGTCACAGCAGCTAGTTCAGGAACTGGTGTCTTTAAAACGGGGCGATTTCAGGTAAGACAATCACTTTTCCTTGATTTGATTCCCCTTTTTGGGGAATGTATATTTAACAGAATTATTATCTACCTTTTGGGACTTAATTGCCAATATGATGATATATTTCTTTTGTATAGAACTTTATAGCTCTTACTATTTTTCCCTATTCAATATAATACATGTTATTAAAGGAAATATGGGATATTAGAACAGTAGATAAATAATAGAAAATGATACTATCTGCCTATCCTTCCACCTTCCCCAGGATTACTTTTTAGGGTGTTATTTCCTTCCATTCCTTTTTTCTGGATATGTGAATGCCTAAAATTGCCCTTGCTTCCCTGAACTCTTAATAATACGTTTTAGCTTTTCCCTCATCTAATGATTTATTTATGTAACCATTCACCTGTTATTAGTCATTAGGTTGCTTCCAACATAATGATTAAAATAACAGTAAACAACTTTGTATATAAAATATTTTCCATGTTTAGGAAAAATTTTTAGGATTAATTTCTGAAGCAAAAATACTGAGTCAAGTGATTATTCATTTTATTTTATTTATTTTTTTAATCAATCTTTATTGTTCATATTATTACAAAGGTTCCTTATTTCTTCCCCCCTCCACCAGGTTTTCACCCCACCCTCCGCCCCCTCCCCATCCCCCATTGTCCTCATCCATAGGTGCACAGTTTATGTTCAGTCTCTTCCTCCCTCCCTTTCCCCGATAGTAAATCCCTTTTCAGATAGTAAATCAGTTACTTAGCATTTTCTCATATCAATAATACCTCCACATGCCCAATGATACACTTCACACAAAAGACATTTCCCAATAGGTCCACCAGCCTCATCCAGGCCCCACCCAAGGCACTCACAGATCAACACCCCAGCCCTATACTAACTCAACACATCCAGATCTAAGCCTTCATCACTTGATTCAGCAGACCCTCAAGTTCCCGCAAAAGTTTCCAGCCATGTCTGAGAGGCAGCCGTGGGGCAGGGGCAGGCGAGGAGCGAGCTGTTCTGGGCCTGGCTGCTCAGGGCCTGGCCTCTGTTGCTCTGGTTCGTTCCACAACAAGCTGCTCCGGGTCTGGTCACTGCCGCTCACGAGCTAGTTGCTCTGGACTTGGCTGCTGCTGCTCCGGGCCTGGCCGCTCCCAGCCTGGCAGCCGCTGCTCCGGGCCTGGCCGCACTATTCATTTTATTTTTACAGTTGGCCCAACAAGGGAACATTTTCTGGCTGTTAGGATGCAGTGCCAAACAAACTTGAAAAATCATTTTTCATTACGAATTTAACACTACTTTTCAATTATTCTTGTCAGCCAGTGGTTGTTGGCACCAATTCAACAGCAATAGGAATCCCCAATTTGGGGTGCTGTGAAGAAGGAAACTTTATTCAGTGCAGAACACCTCTATTATGATGTAGCATGGCTGTGAGGCAGCCCTGGGGTCAGGTCGTACTCTGGCTAGACAGCTCTGCTCCTTGTTGGTCCGCTCTGCTCCATGCTGGTAAACTTTGGCTTGCATTGATTTGCTTTGTTCTGCTCCAGTGAGATACCTTCTGCTAGGGAAATGCAATCATCAGCTGTTGGTGAAAGGGAAAGTATGCTCCAGAGCCAGATAGGAGCTGATTTATATAGACTGAAGTTCCCCGACCTTTGGTCCCTGATTGATCCATCTTCATGCAATTGAGGGCTCCCAATTCCTCACAGTTGTTCCAAAAGGCACAGGACAGAATAAAGCCACTCTGATTGGTTGAAAAAGTTAACTGCTCAACTCTGATTGGATGGAGAAAGCTTCTGTCCTATTAGTTAAAATAGTATTCTAGGAACTCTTTCATAAGGGCTGGATCAGATGGCAGAAATAATGCAGACAGGTAGCTCAGTGCAGGCTTCTCCCTAAAGCACAGTTTGTGTGAGAGGCCCCTATATGGAAATGACTGCTAGGCTCTATTTGTTTTGTTTCGTTTTCATTTGAGGCCAGTTAGCCACCAGGAGCCCTTCTTAATAGGCATCTTTTTCTCAGGGTTCACATTCTCATGGTAATGCTTGGTTGTGTTGATTCTTGAAGCTTAGCTGGCATTTAACATTTATTGGATTTAATCTTTGCAGTTTTTCTTATTCACAAGCAATCCCCAACATTCCATGACCAGTTGTTATTTCTGTTTTTACTAAAATTTGAATGTGAGTCCTGTGCATTAGATATGAAAGTAGTAATTTTCTTAGTAAGCTTAGCTAGGCACTCAGAATATACTTCTAATCTGTATATCTTAGTACAGATGTGTTGTTCTCTATAATGGTATTTTATTTTCACAGTCACAGCCTATTCTATAATGGACTATGTAAACAGATAATTAGCCTACTTATTGGTTAGGAAATAAAGTATTTCTGTTATTTTCTTTTTTTATGGTCCATTCTAAAAATAAATATTAAAAGAATCTTACTTTGGTCTCTCTCCATCAGGTTTCAGTTGCAATGGATGATGCCCAGAAAGAGGGTAAAAATAAGTTTGAAGATACAAAGTCTGTTCATTTTGAATCCAGCACTTCAGAATCCTCAGTGCTATCGAGTAGTAGTCCAGAGAGTACCCTGGTGAAGCCAGAACCTAATGGGAGAACCATCCCTGGTATCTCTTCAGACACACCAGACGGTGCCCACAAAACTCCTGCCTCAGAAGCAAAGGCAGAAATCGGGCAGCCTACCAAGGTTGGACGTTTTCAGGTGACAACTACAGCAAACCAAGTAGGTCGTTTCTCTGTATCAAGAACTGAAGATAAGGTCACAGAGGCAAAGAAAGAGGGACCAATGGCATCTCCTCCTTTTATGAGTTTGGAGCAAGCTGTTCCTCCTGCTGCGATACCAAAGAAAGGAAAGCCTGAATTGTCAGATCCTTCGCATCTGAATGGGCCATCTTCTGACTTGGAGGCTGCCTTCCTAAGTAGGGATGTGGATGATGGTTCAGGTAGTCCACACTCTCCCCCTCAACTGAGCTCGAGGAGCCTTCCTATCCAAAACCTAAGTCAGAGCCTTAGTAACTCACTCAACTCCTCTTACATGAGTAGTGACAATGAGTCAGATATTGAAGATGAAGACTTAAAGTTAGAGCTGCGACGACTACGAGAAAAGTACGTATGTTTTCTCCTGTGAAGAATAATGGCAGGCCGAAACCGGTTTGGCTCAGTGGTAGAGCATCAGTCTGCGGACTGAAAGGTCCCAGGTTCAATTCCAGTCAAGAGCATGTACCTTGGTTGCGGGCACATCCCTGGCAGGGGGTGTGCAAGAGGCAGCTGGTCGATGTTTCTCTCATTGACATTTCTAGCTCTCTATCCCTCTCTCCTCCTCTCTGTAAAAAATCAATAAAATATATTTAAAAAAAAAAAATAAAGAAGAAGAAGAAGAATGGCAGAATTAAAACCTAACTCTTAATTAGGTGCCTATATTAGTATTTTTTACTACAGTGTGATTATGTCTCCATTTCTTTTATTTATTTATTTTCTTAATTACTTACTTAGAGGCCCGGTGCACTTATTTTTGCACAGGTGGGGTCCCTCAGGCTGACCTGCACCCTCTCTCAATCCAAGAACCCTCGGGGGATGTTGGAGGACAACTGCACAGATTTGGTCCAATCCCTGCAGGCCAGGCTGAGGGAAGCCACTGGTGCACGAATCTGTGCACTGGGCCAATTTTGACCTGATTCCCTTAGGCCAGGCCAAGGGGCCTCTAATATGTATATAAGGTCTTTGGTTAATCTCTTCACCCTCCCACCCTCCTCCTACCCTCTGAGATTCATCAGTCTGTTCTATGTTTCCATGCCTGTGAGCTTCTACCCCCTGGTGGTCAGTACACATCATGCTACCGGTCGACTGGTAGCTTAGGCTTTTATATATAGATTTTAAAAAATATATTGTTACTGATTTCAGAGAGGAAGGGAAAGGGAGAGAGAGAGAAACATCAATGATGAGAGAGAATCATTGATTGGCTGCCTTCTGCATACTCCCTACTGGAGATCAAGCTCACAACCTGGGCATGTGCCCTTGATTTTAATTGAACCTGGACCCTTTAGTCTGCAGGCTGACACTCTATCCACTGAGCCAAACCAGCTAGGGCTATGTCTCATTTCTTATAAAGAGAAGGTAATGGGCAAAAGCTAGTTATCTGAATATAGTTCTTATTGGATCTCCTGTACTCATCAGGACCCATAGCATTTCTAGTTATAGAACTTTGTCAGCATCTTTTGTGTTATTGTTACTATATTATTTTTATTAATAGCACTTTTATCATTATTAACCTAGTCTTAGCTATTTATTAGTCTACCAAATGAACCACTGTTAGAAGATTTTGTTGATCATATTTGACAAACTGGATCAGAGTAGCAAAATCAGTACTCCTGTGTATAATCTCAAAAGCCAGGAAATCTTTTTTCTCCTACTGCATCATCAAACATTTGTTGGCTGGGAGCTTGTTGGATTTTAGCTTGGGTAATGGAGGCCAGCAAGATGCGTTGACAAATTAGAATCTCAAGGTGTAGTAGAAACTAGATTAAATACATTTGGGGCAAAGATTCAAAAGTAAGTACTTCTGTGGAGGTTAAAGAATATGTGGTTAAGTCTTGTTTGAACAAAGGTGTTTTTAATATTTTTGAATTATGTCTGGTTATCTTTCATAGACACCTTAAAGAGATTCAAGATCTGCAGAGTCGCCAGAAACATGAAATTGAATCTTTGTATACCAAACTGGGCAAGGTTCCCCCTGCTGTCATTATCCCCCCAGCTGCCCCTCTTTCAGGAAGAAGAAGGCGACCCACTAAAAGCAAAGGCAGCAAATCTAGTCGCATCAGTTCCTTGGGCAGTAAAAGCCCCCAGCTTTCAGGTAAGAAGCCCTGGGCCAGGCCAGCCATGGCTGCCCCATCTTTTATTTCTGTCTTCAACAGTGTATATAACCTACTGAACATTTGTTGTTTTTGTTATATTTCAAAAGAATTAATTGACTTTCCTAATATTCTTACTTCCTTGAATTCTCTACTCCCCATATTTATAGTACCTCTTTTTTAATTCATGGAAGTAGACTGGGTGAGTTCAATGGCCTATTCCATTATAATCAATATTGCTACCCATGGGTAGTCTTCATTTATAGTTTTTAAGGATAAAGCATTGAGCTTTGCAAAGTTCAGGTAGGTTCTTCCTTTGAATGAATCGATTAGTCATAATTGTGACTGGGATAAATACAAATTTCATATAAATATTTGAGTATGTCTTAAGTGATAATTTCCTTGATTAAAGTTTTTATTTTATTTGCCTATATTGGGATAAAGAACTTCCTAGTGTTTGTAACTAAAAAAAAAAAAAAGTTTAAATTATAATCCCTTGTAATGAATTGTACATTTTTTAAATTGTGACAGTGTTTATCCTTTGGTGAAATTATGGTAATTAGTTGAAAAGTAAAAAAGTTTGCAATAAGTGTATACGTCATATTTGCTCATAAATAAGTTGGAGAGCAGTTGCAAACTTTTTAGCAGCTTTCCATTCTCTGGAAGATTTAGTGACCCAAATTTTCTCTAGCACATTTGAACCAAATTAGTAGTAGATTTGTGATTATAAGGAATAGCAACTATTTTTAACACCTCTTTTGTACTTGATCTGACATATACTTATAAGGAAAATTAAGCAGACACTGCTTACCAAACCTATTTGTATCGTGATCCAACTCAGTGTTTTGCAGTAGAGTTGTGGAACTGCAAAATAGAATTCTCTTTTATCTATATATTCTATACCGGCGGTCAGCAACCTTGTGGACCACCGATTGGTGACCACTGTTCTAGACTTCTTACTCAGCTCAGATTTGTGATCCATCTAGGTCTTCTAAAACTAAAAAAGTTTCAGGAGTTTCCTATGGCCCTCTTATCTGTTGATTCTCATGCCATTCCTCACTTTCCCTCCAGTTCATTAGTTATAGCTTTTGGCCCATTAATCACTCAATGAGACAAATTGGAGGAATAAGGGCAGTGCCTAATAAAGTGCATTGGGAAAGCTGTACATGTCTGTTCATGCCACTTTGTTTTCTGGCAGGTAATTTGTCTGGTCAGAGTGCAGCTTCAGGCTTGCACCCCCAGCAAACCCTCCAACCTCCTGGCAACATCCCAGAGACTGGGCAAAGTCAGCTGTTACAACCTCTTAAGCCATCTCCCTCTAGTGACAACCTCTATTCAGCCTTCACCAGTGATGGTGCCATTTCAGTACCAAGCCTTTCTGCTCCAGGTCAAGGTAAGAAAGCAAAGCAGCCATCATCTTCCAAAAACATTCAAATGGAGATATTGCCGTGTCTGGGACAAAAGCCTAATGTGTAGCTTATTGTTAAGGTGAGTTGGAAGACCAGTTGACCAGAACATCGCCTGTGTATTGTACATTTCCAAGAATCTATGAGCTGAAGGGGGGAAAAGTGATTAGATAGGTGTACTCATCGCTCCTATCAGGTGAAATCGCTTCTTTTCAAAGGATTACAGCAAATGGTTAGGATTGTGACCTATATGAAGAACTCTTTTGGGATTGCAACTTATACTTATGACTAGACAGATTAGAATTAGACTAAATTCTAAGGAGTTTTAGCAGTTTCTGAAAGCTAACTTGCTAGATTAACTAATGTGGACTTTTTAAATTTCTAAGTATGGGAGTAGCATACAAAAATGAATTGACCTACAGTTCAATTTTTATATTAATTATTTACTTTTCGAATATGGTTTTATTTATTAATGATTGCTCAAAAGATTCCTGTAGAGGAAAGAGCTTCTAGTAACCTTAGAACAAGTATTTGAAGGAGTTCAGTGTCTGGGTAGAAAAGAATGAGAAAAATATGAATAGGTCACTTTGGTATCTTTGTCACAATTACACTGAAATTAAAGATTAGATTATCTTTTCACAAGATAAATGTACTTTTTTGGTAAGAACTCAAACTAGCTAGCATTATTCCCACTGTGAAAGCTTTTGGCAGGTGGAGGGAATTGAGGCCTAATTTTCCTGTCTTGATATTTGACCTTTCCCTAGAAGCTTGTTCTGTGTGTCATTGTAGCGCATTTCACCACTCCAGCCTCAAGTTTCTAACATCTTGTAGTTGTGTTCTGTCTCTTCTCTCTCTGTTCTTCCCTGTTTCTCCCCTCCCACAGGCTGTGCGAAGTTTAACTGTGCATCTGAGCAGGTGACATTCAAACCTGGTGGCAGGAGGACCCGATTTCTGAGTACGCCCTGCTTGGCTCTTTGTGTGTAACACCTTTACTCCTTCCTCGCCCTTGTTTTTCTGCTGCTTGGGTCCGATATTTCACGCAGTCCATTTTCATTTGTCTTTGTATATCATTTACTCAGCGGCTTGGCTGAACTACTGTTACCCTCAGAAGTTTGGGTCCCTACATTAATTATTATAAAAGGTGTAGAAATAAGAATAGGTTTCTATAAACTTCAAAATAATCTTCTGATAGAATTGCTTCTTCGTAGATCCATATAGTGTGGTATTAGGTTACATAGATTGCTGAGTCTTTTAGAATAATGAAAACTGGACTCTGGTCAGGTGCTCATTGGTTAGAGCAGTGGTTTCCCAACTTTTGGGGGGGCCATGCCCCACCTAAGCTTCTCTAAAATACAGATGCCCCCACACCTCCCCATGACATAGAATTCCTATTATTCAAAAAGTGAACTTCTCTTCATGTGGAGGAAGCCTAAAAGGCAATTAACTTGGTCTAAACAAGCTTCCAAAGAACATGGTTTCCATGAAAGAGAAAAATAAAAGAATGAAAGGACAACTGAAGTACTGAGGAAGAAATCACTAAGAAAGTGTTAAAAAATAATAATATGAAGTGATACAAAAAATTACAAGTAAGTTTCAAAACATATAATAGAGAACTGAAATGCACAAATGTCACTTATGTACTGTGTTCATAAGAATACATTATTACCATAAGAAATGCAAAAAAAGTCACTGTTAATAACTCATTCTTGAATTGGCCCCCTTAAAAATCAAATTGTTCCCGTGTGGGGTGTCCCACGTTGGAAACCACTAGTTTAGAGCTTCTTGCTGATAAACACCAAGGTCAATGGTTTGATTCCCAGTCAGGGCACACACAAGAATCAACCAGTGAATGCATAAGTGAACAACAAATTCGTGTTTCTCTATCTCTAATTCTCTCTCTCCCTTCCTTCTCCTTACTCTCTGAAATCAATCAATGAATTTTTTTTTAAAGAAAGAATAATGAAGATAATTTTTGTCCTATTCAGTGAGAAGTGACAGAAAGCATCTTGACCACTGATGCACTTAGATCCTGGCAGCAGGTAAAAGTTATACCCTATTTTGCAGAGGAGGCTGGAATCTTTTTCTGGTCGATTAAGCCTAACCATCAGCTGAAAAGATGCAAGAATTTCCTCATTGGATCTTTTCACCACTATTACCTTCTAATTTCATAATATCAGGTGTTGAAAGGTTTTTAGTGTACTTACTCTCATAAAGCATTTATTCTGTTAAAGACCAAATCCCAGCACCTGCAAGTGAAAATGATTGCTGAGATTTCTAAGCCTTCTTAAAGGCACAATAGCAAAACCTCTCCAGCCCATCTTTCCCAACTGTGACATGAAGATGACACCTGTCCTCTAGGGTTGTTTTACAAATCACATACATAGAAACAGGCAGCACAGGGGAAGCACAATCATTGCCCTCTGATTGGCCAGTAAATGTAAATTGAAATAAATTTTTAAAAATGAAAGTAGGACTCAAGTAGAAAACTTAGAGTTTAAATAAAGGTCTCTGTTAAGGCCTCAAACTTCTGATGTGGTTATTGAAGTGCTTTTTAAATGCATGTGCTAAGGCCATCACTATTTCCAAGTATGGTTCAGAGGTCCTTGGACCTCTCATATCACTAGCCAAAGCTAATTAACAAAAGTGGGAGGCATTACCCAGTTTGGTAGTTTTCCAAGCATGTGCGATTTTTGAGCATTCATATAAATAGCTTTCTCATTAAACTAGGCTGGACCAAGCATACTAACATTTTGATGCTTAAATAGCATTTAATTTATATGTCCAGCTAGAAAGATGAAAAGACATTAATACTAGGAGGCAAGTGTTAAAACAGCCTGAAATGTCTAACAGAATTAAGAGAACCAAGGCTTTTTTGTGAAGTATAAAGTGGTAGATACCACTTTAAATTAATTAAGTGAATTCTCATCACACTCTTAAAGGTAGGTGGTATAATACTGTTTTTGAATAAAAGTGTTTAGAAATATGAAAATCTTACCGCTTTCTGCTGGGCCTAAAATGAAAGGTGACACCAGTATATGTATATTATAAGCCTTGGTGACCAAATTGCAGGAGGCAGGTTTAAAGCAAACATGGAAAGAAAAAACAGGTGTTTTTAGACTAGTTTGGGGTGCATTATTCCGTGCTCTCCAAATATAATAGATAATGGTTTGGAAGCATGGCTTGCCTTAATGCTTTATTTATGTTCAAAAGTTGCTTGTTTTCCATATACTTTTAAATATCTTTCTCAAGGGGAAAGTACTAGTATGTCTAGGATGTGGAAATATATTAGCCAATTTAAATTAAGAGAAAACTGTAACAATGGTAATATCTATCAGCCCACTGTGGTAGAATTGCTAATGCATTTAATTGAGTGCTTTTTAACATCCCAGCAGGAGAAACAGAAAGCGGGACAGGGTCAGTGGAAAGACTGCTTGGGTATTTGAAATTCAAGCAGTGAGATCTGAGAGACTGGAGTGCCTCCCCTCCCACAGCCTAAAGCAGGCATTGCTCTTCTAGATACAGACATTGGGTATGGAAATCCAGCTTCTGTCAGCTAGGTTCCGCAGCCCATCAGAGAACCAAGGCAAAGCTAAGTCCCATGGAACTACTTCTGTGGCAAGGGCTCCAGGTCCTACCAGTCTGTCTCCCCTCCTGCTTTCTCTTGCTGGGACTTTGTGTGCTGTTTGGAGATTCTAAATATTTTACACTGATGTTTCTTTATTTTAACACATTGCTCTCTCTTTGTGCTTCAGGGAAGATGGTGAAAAAAGTCTGTCCTTGCAACCAGCTCTGTAGTAATTATCTTTTATTTTTCTGTTACTTTTGATCCTTGATTGCAAAGCTTGTTATCCTTGAGTTCTTTGAACCTTGAAGCCTCACAACTCCCTGATTCCCAATTTCCATCTCTCTGTTCCACACCCTTTTCTGGTATATTCTTTAACATGCTTATTTGCTGACCACTGGCTATCCTCTCAGATTAAGAAATCACCTCATAGTCAGTGTTTTCATTGATGACCCTCTGCAAGCCTACCTCTGTGGCATTATAAGCTGATGATATGTACATAGAGATCAAGGACTCCTGACTCCTTTGTGAAAGAATTAGTTAACAAAAATGTGCCTGTCACTAGAAAATCAGCAGTGGTCACAGCATACAAGAGCCCATTACCCCACATCTGCTAGGTTGGTGAGGTGAGAGGCATAACTTTGTAGAGTTTGGCTTCTTAGATTGGTAGTTTCTCATTAAAGTTCAGGCAATTCAACAACCCCACAGGCCACCTAGAGGGTCAACCAGAAAACACTATACTTGGGATATATGGGCAATAAGTTTTGGCTACTAATAAGTTGTTGTTACTAGGATCTGGCATGTGGGGGTGGGGAAAATGTATTATAGCAGGAGAAAACTGAAGAACCGATTTGAGTGATTCAGCATGCACTTTTGAGAGCTTTTCAGCAGAATTGAGAAAGGTGTAAAGGTTAGTCTGGAAGGTACACAGTGTTCTCAGAAATATTTGCATTAAGAATGTTCTTAGACATTTTATTACTGAAATGAACTAAATTCACGGTGTATTCTAGTTTTTATAGTCAGCTTCTCCCAGGAGTTTATTTCTAGTCAGAAAAAGATGTGTTTATTTCCTTTAATGGGAAAACCTGTTTTCAGAAGCCAGCATAAAAGGGTCAACTGTATGGTTGACTCTCCCTCAAGGTATAAACCTTACCTTCAGAACACAGTACTGTGTAATATATATTAAAGTGAGAAATGAGATTTGGCATAAAGGGTCCTCAAAGCATGAAAGGCAACAAGCATGAGACCAAAGCGGTGGGACGCCCAGCACGAGCTTTGTAATTGGTGTTCACCTCAGCAGAGCTGCTTGTATTTGGCTTTGACAGCTCTGCTCACTTGGGATAGTGTCTGGTTACATCAAGCTCGCTAAGCAATCACCATTCGAACCGGATGGTGGTCCTCATGCATGACTTGCTTGTCTTCTGTACTTCACCATCATGACTGCCATCCTCACTGCATCTTCCTCCCTCCCATCCCACTACTGTCTCACTCTCGCTGTTCGAGGAAGGCTGTTTCCTGTGCCATAGCGGAACTTACTCTTCCCTTTACACTGTATGTGCAAGAGCAATTCCCTGTGGCTCCCGTGGGCACTGAAAAGGGAGCTAGCACACACTACAGTAGTTCCATGTCAAGCCTTGGTGGTAAGAAGCATGTGACCTTCCTCTGCAGCTTCACCTCTGAATTAGCTGTTTCTCAAGTACAGACATGCTTGTGTGTGCCAGCCCTGGATATTGTGTAGAAACTTGATCAGCAATGGGTCCTAAAGGGCTTTTCAATGGCAGAGTTGCTTCAGGTATGCCGCTGTGCTCCAGTGCTGCTTTGACCTTGAAAGCAGGAAAATGTATGCATTTAGGTAGCCCCCAGCATTACTGGGATATCTTAAGGCCTAGTGCTCACAACTGAGTAGTTCTTATTTATTCTACAGTAAATGTGATATCTGCTAAGAAGGTGGGGTGAGGGTAAACAAACAAGACCATGACTCTTCTCTCCCTCTTCCCTAAAACTTGCCTCTTCGCATAATCTTCAGTGTGCCCTCCAGCAGAGCCGAAATCAGGCAGGACACAGACTCCTTTCTTCTCATCAAACTATAGAAATAGAACTCCTTCATTGCACCTGAAAGCTTCCTCCTCCCTTCTGCACCCCTGCCTCAGCTGAGTGTTCCTGTCGCTTCCACATAAGAGAGCTTGCTGTTCTGGGAAAGGTGGGGGAAGGGCTGAGGATCCTTGAACCAGTTGAAACAGGTCATCTTCAGGAAAAGCATGCCTTCTTAGAGTTGAAAGATTCAAGCAAACAATAAACCTTCCTCACAAGTAAACTTGGTTCTTCACTCATAGGAAACTGGGAGAGGTTGAAGCCTTAATTCCTTTCGTGTATGTTTACAAATTGTGTTTATGGGGTCCAGATGAAAACTTTTTTTCAGAGCATGCTGTTTCTCTTACCCCCCCTTTCTATTAAGGGGGCGGAGGGGTTTGGAATGGCCGAATCCACATGGTTTGGGAACCATGTCTTTTCCTGGGCCAAACACCCGTCTTTGCGTTTCTGTAACTCCTACTTGAACCCTGGCCCAATGCTCAAGAAATCACCTTGTTTGCCCTGCGTTCTGTAACACTCTAGAGCAACTAGCCTCCCTGACCATCCTACTCTTCCCTCACTGATGCAGTGCTGAACACGTTTGCTGGCAGTACGGTCAGTGCTATGTGAATGGGCTGGGAGAGGGCCCCGCCCTTTGTACCAACCATAGTCCTGAGTTCTTTAGCCTTCCGTACTGCAGCTCCTGAAGAGAATCTGGTTTCTTTGCCCTGTTAGCCAACATTGGCTAAATAAGGCCTTGGGATCTTCCTTTCTTGCATGGCTTCCCAATCCATCCTCCCCATTCTGTGGCTTGCCATTCATCATTCTGTGAAGCTTTTCCTGTTCATTAAATTATAACCCAAACACCATGTAATGGCTATATTCTGTTGCTTCTTCTAACTCTAGGGACCAGCAGCACAAACACTGTTGGGGGAACAGTGAACAGCCAAGCTGCCCAAACACAGCCTCCTGCCATAACCTCCAGCAGGAAGGGCACATTCACAGATGACCTGCACAAGTTGGTGGACAATTGGGCCCGAGATGCCATGAATCTTTCCGGCAGGAGAGGAAGCAAAGGACATATGAATTACGAGGCAAGTTTTCCCTTTTTGCCATTTTCCTACTCTATTCATGTCACTTAGCACATCTGAGACCATGCTTAACATTTCAGGCAGTGATCTACTTCAGTGGCTCATTAATTTTAACACTTTTTAAAAATACGGTTTTATTGACTTCAGAGAAAAGGGAGAGAGAGAAGTATCAATGATGAGAATCATTGATGGGCTGTCTCCTGCACGCCCTCTTCTGAGGATTGAGCCTGCAACCCTGGCATATGCCCTATCCAGGAATCAACCGTCAACTCCTAGACACCCAATCACTACACCATACCAGCCAGGCAATTTTAATACTTTTAGAAAAACAAGACAAAAATCACCCAAGTACCCTTTTATTTTTACTTCCCTGTATCCTTCACTTCCTATTGGTCAACTCAATTTTTTCTTTCCTTTATTACCCTGTACTGCATGCCCACCATCATACATACACACACACACCACCACCACCACCACCACCACCACCACCACCCAGTTCCAGTCGGAATGGTTTTTCTCACTGGTTAGATAAGTGTGAAGAGCCAATAATAATTATTATGAAAGGTTTTATAAGATTAGAACAGCCTGGTTGTAAAATTATAGTTTGGTATTCCCATTTTGCACTCATGCATGTTATGCCCACACCACACTTTACAATGAGTTGTTTTGTTTTCAGGGCCCTGGAATGGCAAGGAAGTTCTCAGCACCTGGTCAGCTGTGCATCTCCATGACCTCAAACCTGGGTGGCCCTGCCCCCATCTCTGCAGCATCAGCTACCTCTCTAGGTCACTTCACCAAGGCTATGTGCCCCCCACAGCAGTACACTTTCCCAGCTCCTCCCTTTGGCACTCAGTGGAGTGGGACGGGTGGCCCTGCACCACAGCCACTCGGGCAGTTCCAGCCTGTGGGAACTGCCTCCTTACAGAATTTCAACATCAGCAATTTGCAGAAATCCATCAGCAACCCCCCAGGTTCCAACCTGCGGACCACTTAGACCTGGAGACATTAACTGAGTAGATTTGGGGACAGGAAAGAGTGCTGAGTGATTGGGGGCAGAGGGGTTAGTAGCCTATATATACTAACTACTTGTGCTGCATTTAACTGATTATTTCTTGCCAGAAAGGAATGTTTTTAATACTGCTTAGAGCCCTCAAAATGGAGAGTCTTCCTCCCCTTCACCATTAATTGGAGTGGGACAAGAAGGACAGAGCAGCTTTCTTGTGGTGGGGTAGCTTCAATGTGTGCTTTCCTGTTTACCTGTACCCAACAGTGAGGGCTGGGAAAGAGAAGGGCTTTTATCAGGAAGCTATTCGAGTGCTCAAGGGAAAACCAAACCCCATCTGTATTTTTAAGTGGGTGTAGCTCTTAATTTTGGTACCCACCCCAAGTCCCTCATTCCTTCAAGAATCTAAGCCACAAAACAAAATAAAGGTTTTGGGTTCGTTCTTACCCTGTCCCCCCACCCACTTCTCCCCTTTTTTTTTCACTTTAGAACCCAGTGACAAACACCAGAAGACTGAGGTTTCAGCCCTTTCTTATGATAGGTCATTAGTGCTTTAAGCAAACGATATTAGCAGCTTTGACTGCAGCACTAGCAATTAAGAAAAAAAAGTTCCCTGCGGACATGTAACTTTGCCATCAGTTTTGATGTGGAAACACTGTGATATATAAATGTTGTTGGACAACAGTAGTTTTAAGATGAAAATATGAAAGGTTTAAAAGGTTGACAAAAAAAGCTAGCTCTGTTCTTTACTTATTGAGACACTTTAACTTTTTCCTTTGTATTTCCATTGTATTAGATAAATAAATGTGAATGTAAAATTGTATAAATTACTTACTTGAATACTTCTGTTCTCCCAGTATTGCTTGCTGGATATTTTAGTGCCTTGGACTTCTATTGCTTTTGCCATTAGCATCAACTACTCATCAGACCCCAGATCAGCAAAGGGCATGTGGGAGGAAATCTAAGGCCCAGGTGACCCCAGCAGTGGGTCAAGCCAAAGGGAAATTGAGCGTTCTTGTTATTTAACAATTTTGTCTAGAGCAGGTATGAGATGAGCAGGGTGAGAAGTTAGTTGACATCAGTGCTTGAAAGCAGAAAGTTCTGTTTCAGGAATGGTGAGGAGGGGTGCTGTAATAAAATTGGGCATTTTAAAGGATTAAAGGAGGCGAAGGACAAGTGAAAGAAAAAGACAAAGGTATGGGAGAACAAACTTGTTTGAAGATATGTGATGCCTACCAATGGAATGCCATAGCCTTACTCGGTGAGCTGGGCTTGCACAGACCTAGAACAAATGGCTAAACATGGGAAGCGAGAGGGGGTTGATTTTAAAGTTGGGAAACGTGATAGTGAAAAGTGTCACAGATGGAAGAAGTTGCTCTAAGAAAAACCGTTTGGATTGCTTTCCTCTTGTTGCAAATATACCAAGTATTTCTAAGCTTGGAGTGTTGTATTTTTGTAGAAAGTGGAACCACATCTGAAGTAAGCATTGGAGGAAAGAATCATATTCTTCCTGTTTTTCTCCTATGTCCAAATGGTTGCAGGATCATAATCTGTTGTGCCACCTTTATTTCTGCAATTGCAACTGATATTCTCACATTTCATTTTAACAAATACTCTCCTTAATAACTGCAACCAACCAGTGTTATTTAGTGATATGCCTAGTTATAATGGGCAGTTCTATCATTTTCAGAGCTTTCACGAATACTCTCCTAATTGGCTAACTGGGGGTCTCTCTTATCTCTGAAGATGGGGGGAAAGCTAGGACTCTTTCATTTTTTTGGGTGCTTCTTGTCTTGACTCTTGAGTTGGGAAATTGACATATTTCCAACCTCTTACCCACCTCAATGGCACATCCCAGGAATCACAATAGGAAGAGCCTCATTCGCTCTCCTATCCTGTTGTCCCTTCGTGGCCCTGTTTCTTTCCATTAGCCTGGGCCCCGATGATGCAAATGAAAGCTGAAGGTTTTAGGAAGGTAGAAATGAAAAGGGCAGAGGTTCCAAGCCCTCCTTCGAAATTGTTTACTTATTCATTCTCTGCTTCTAATTCTTAGGGAGATGGTGAGGGTAAGGAATAGAAGAAGGTGGACAAGTTAATGAGAAATGGACCACCTAAGACAAATGAAACAATACTTTTTACTAGAGAAACAAGCAAGCCAAATGCAGCACATTGTTTGTTATTTTGGTTCAATAATTTTGAGGTCTCTTCACAAAAAAGAAAGAACTGGTTTTATTTACTGTTGATTTTTTTTCCTTCCTGTGGATGAAATAACTGAAGCCTAGAGGAATCAACTAGCTACTGAAATGTTTAAATTATTTTTGTGTTAATAGTACACTTTGAGTATCTTTTTCCACATTAAAAAATCTTTCTGAATTATAAATGTTTTCCTTACATTATTTAACAATGTATACTGTTTTAAAAAAATGAATAAACAATTCAAACCTTGGGTTCTCCGCAGCCGTTAATTGTACATTTTGCACTAACTTTGGGTGTTGCGCTTCTTGTAAGATTGCGCTTTGTGCTTCAGTTTGTAACCTTTGTAGACTTATTTAATGAAACCATTCAAATAAACCAAACTTGCTTTTGATGAGTTGTGGGGTTTCATTCCCAGCCAATTCATTTTTCATTATTTCATTAGATATTTTGTGTGCAATTTATAATTGGATTCCTAACTTTAGTGGCAGTTCTGACCTGAACTATGGTTATGCTGCAGACAAAGATGATACTTAATCTGAAGATGATAAGGATATCAAAATCAAAAGATGGCTATATGACCAAATCTGCACAATAGATGAAGTAAAAGAGGAATCAGCCCTAGCCGGTTTGGCTCAGTGGATAGAGTGTTGGCCTGTGGACTGAAGGGTCCTGGGTGCAATTTTGGACAGAGGCACATACCTCGGTTGCAGGCTTCTCTCTGGCCTGGGCCCTGGTCGGGGTACATGCAGGAGGCAACAAATTCATGTGTTTTTCTCACATCAATATTTCTCTCTTCCACTCTTGCTAAAAAGCAATGGAAAATTATCTAGGATAATGATTAAAAAAAAAGAAAAAAATCAGAGTAAGCCACTGAAATAGAAATGGATTACTGCCTTCTGTTCTTTAAGAGTTCCTTGCCTCAGGTTCCCAGCTTCCCACAAATGAATGTCACCCAAAAAAATAAAAGCCACTTCAAGATTAGATTACTAATTAACACAAACTCATTAAAGGGAAAGAATTATGAAACATCTACTAAGCACGATAGAAAAACAATTTATGTTAGATGGATTTATAACACATCTGAATGGGGAACTATATACAGCAACTTACATTTTCTATTTTGTTACCAAGTAATGGATTTATTTTGTGCTCTTGAAATTCCTTTTCTTTGGCCTTATATCATTGTCCCCTTAATTAAACAAGAGGTTAACAGATGAAGATCACAGCCTGGACTCTGATGCACAGGAGTCAAACACCACTCCACCTTTTGTTCTAAGCGTGACGCACAGTCCTTGTGTGGGCAACATTGGAATTTGGTGCCCTAACGTGAAAGAAGGTAGAGACACCCGGTAATATAATGTAGGTTGCTGTTAAAAGTTGGTGCTTGGTAGTATGGCTTATGTTACTTTCAACCACTGGTGATTCCTAAAAGTTCTGTATTTATTAGCATAATAGTTAGGAATAAATAATGAGTATTAAGTGCCCAAGAAAAGGTATTTTATCTACCCACCGCCTACTCTGTGCAACAAGCTTTTTAAAAGTACTTGTTTTCCAGCTGCTCGGCTTTATCTGCAGTAGGCTCCAGTAGTCAAATCCTCTGAAAGAGTTCAGAAGGAAGCAAAGTAAGTCCTGGGAAATAAAGCTCATTCCCTAGGAATAATGAACAATTTGATGGCCAAAAAGCAGTTTTCTAAAGTCCCTCTATGGGAGTCTGATGAGGTAACCTGAACCTCTGCTAAGATGGATCCAATTTCCTTTTCTTCAACTCCTGGTTCTTCCTGGAGGAATCACAGTTTCCTATGTAAGAGAAAGCTGTTAAAATATAGTTGCCATGATTTTAAAATGAACTCAGTAATTTCTGAATTAGTTAATGATTCTAAAAACCTAAGAATGAAAATTGTCAGGAATACATCCTTCTAACTCTAGACCAAATTGAAGTAATTATGACGGGCCCACTTTTCATAGGAAAAGCTCCTAATGCAGTCACGCCCAACTTCCCACTAGGATCCCTAAGCACAAGTTCTGGCTCTAAACCAATTATCTTCTCTTTTCTGCTATTCCACCTTTAAAATTCATAGAACTAAACCCAGGTTCTTCAATATCTGTTCCTAAAACACTTGGCTACCTATTATGTGCTGGTTAACACTGGAAGTTTGGATGTGCAATTTTATTTGTGGATTCTGGTGGCAAAGGCTTTGTGGACTCCGGCTCCGAGTCACCATCTGGTTCTTCAGGACTGGTGTGGCGGCAGTCTGGTGTGATTCTGGTCTAGACAAGGGCTTGACAGCACTGTCCAATACATCTGGAGTCATATCCCATATTTCAAAACTGTCTGCAAAGACAGATCACAGAAAAATGTAGTATCAACAAAGAAGGAAGTGTTCTCACATACAATACAGGAAAAGCAGGTCATAAGAAATCACATGCCATAAGTGACCTATGATAGTTTATAGATTCTCTATCCCTAACTCCTAAAAGTACACTGGAGCTTCTGTTAGGACAGTAGGGAGCTAAATCTGTGCTACCAGTCAGAACTGTTGTCAATCCACCCTGGGTCCTCTTTCTCCTAAAACTTCATTGGTCTATAAAACAGAAAGGATTTTTATGCCCTTTTTTTTTAAATTCTCGCCTGAGGATATTTTTCCCATTGATTTACAGAGAGAATAAAGGGGAGACAGAGAGAAACATCTATGTAAGAGGTACATTGATTGGTTGCCTCCCATGCGTGCCTCTATTAGAGGTGGGGAACCTGCAACCAGGGTAATGTGACACTGACCATGAAGCAAACCCCAACCCTTCGGTCAAAGGGCCAATGCTCCAACCACTAAGCCAAACCAGCCAGGGTTTTTATGCCTCTTTTAAAAATAAATAAATCTTTATTGTTCAGATTATTACACTTGTTCCTCTTTTTCCACCGCTCTAGCTCCCCTCCACCGGTTCCCATCCCACCCTCTGCCCTTACCCTCTCCACTGTCCTCATCCATAGATGTATGATTTTTGTCGTCTCTTCCCAAACCTCCCACACCCCTTTCCCCCCGATAATTGTCAGGCTGTATATTATTTTTTATTTCAGTCAGTGTATGCTTAATTTCTAGTTGGTCCTTTTCCATATCCTCAAGGATCTCACTAAATTTATCGGCCTTTTCTAGAAAATTCATGGAAAACCTTATAACCATGGTATTGAACTCTATATCCAGTCGCTTGCTTTCCTCCATTTCTTTCACTTGTGATCTGTTTCCTTGTCTCTGCATTTTGGCTGCTTCCCTGAGTTGATAGAGTGGCTTTGTGTGCTAGGTGTCCTATAGGGCCCAGTGGCTCAGCCTCCCCAGTTACCTGAGGAGGTAACTCTTGGTGCACCCCTTTGTGGGCTGTGTGCAGTCTTGTAGTTAAGCTTTGATTGTTGTTGGTATCACTGGGAGGAATTGACCTCCAGGCCAATTGGCTGTGAGGATCAGTTGTGTCTGTGCTGGGAGAACTTCTGTGTTGGAGACACCCTTGAGACAAGACTTGCAAAAGCCTCTGCGCTCAGCTTGGATGGGGTGGAGTCTCAGGGCAGAGCAAACCATGATGGCTTCCCGTCAGCTCTGCCCTAAGAGGCCTCTGGGCCTCAGTGTCCCTCAGTAATCGCTGCAAGCACCTATGAGAGAAAGCCACCTTCGAGTTTCACCTGCTGCCAGACAGTCCAGTTTCTCCCCGAATGAGTCTGGGTCCCCAGAGTCTAGCCCAGAACTGGAGTTCAGAGCAGTCGGGAGGTTTTGTTTCCCTCCTGATAGAGAAAGCCAGCTGCAGACTCAGTTGCCAACCCCTCTGGCTTCCACAATTCCTGTGAGTCTCAGTGTGCTTTTCTCTTTCCTTCTAGTTGTAGAATTTCCTCTCAGCCAGCCTTCCTTTGGTTCTGGATGATGTCCGTTTTGTCTTTTAGTTGTAGTTTTGAAATTGCTGTGCTAGGCAGCAGTTTAGGTATTTACCTATGCCTCCATCTTGGTTTTTCCTCTTTATGCCTCTTTTAAAATGCATTTCTAACTCCCCAAGGTATCCAATACAGTAACTTACAAGCAATTTATAGGTATTTCCTGATTAATACTTAGCATCCCTTTAGCACCTACTGACCTGCAGGGAAGTCTTTCTCGGTGAGTAGTTCTGCTCCCTCAGGTTTGGGAGTGCTGTGGTTCAAAGGAGGCACCGGTGGCTCTACTACAGAGAGAGAGACCTCAGAACTCAATTGTGAGAAGGAGCAGCCTCAGAAGTGCAAAGCACCCAGAGTTACGCTGGTTCATAGCACAGCCAATAGCAGAATTCAAGAACCCCGAGTCCCCGTCCACCTGTAGATCTATATGGGGTTTAAAATTGCCTTTTCCCTCTACCAAATTAGGGAGAAACAGTTTATTTCTCCTTTAGGGGCATAAATAGAAGACATCTGGCCTAGTTTTTACTTTTTAAAGCTATAACCTTTGTTCCAAGAAATTCTTAAGTAGAGATTCAATATAGAGAAACCAATATAATCAATGACCTTCTGAATATAGGGATGGGGAGAGCCTGGAGAACTCTCCTCCACCACTCACCTTCAGGAGCTTCTGCAATGGTTTAGAAGCTAAAGATCTAGAATAATTCTTAAGAACATCCGAGCCCAGTAAGTGGATGTTTTTCCCCCTCTACATTAATTTCAGCCTCAGTGCTGAGGGGAATATTATTGAAAGCAAGTCCTCTATAAATTTCATAATTCTTAGGGAGAAGCTGAACAAAAATCACATTGATCTGGGATTAGCCCTTCTGTTTCTACTCTCTGGGAAAGACTCCAAAATAACCTCTATATACTATGTCCACTGAATCTGAACTCAAAAATAAGCAAGTTCCTAGATAATTACCAGAAGCCCCCATTACCTTCAAATGCAAATCTTCTTATATTTAAAGTCAGCTAAGGCTTTGTAATGCAGAGGCAGTCAATGTAATTGGAGCAAAAAACCCTCTGTACCTAGAAATTTCTAGTTCCAGATTTTGTTAAGGCCCATTCCCCCTCTCCCTCCCACCCCCAAAAGATTAGTATCTTTAGAAATGGGAAAAATACACAGCATGATTTCACTCTTAATTTTTTTTGACTCATCTATCCTATGTTGTAATGAGCTCTGGTTTGGACCTAACCATACTGAGCTGGCAGAGGATCAAGGCCCACAAGCCTTCCCTGGGATGCTGAGTACACCTCCCCAGGCCGCTGCTCCCAGCCTTCACACAAACCCGGATTCTTCTTTTCAGTGGACGGAGCAGAGAGCTGAGCTCGCTGCTGTTTCTCCATTTGCTCCCGGAACTGCTGCTGCAGCTGTTTCTGCCGGAGCTTCCGCTGGAAAGTGGCATTGCTCTCTGCAGCGGAGGACTCCAGGCTTCTGCATTGGGAGCAACAAGGTGGGCTTGAGACCCTGAGTCACCTGAACAAACAATATTCAGTTCTGAGGGCAAACAAACCAACCTGCCGGCTCTGAAGGCAGAGATGGAGATAACTTAGGCTGCATGAGAAGGCAGAAGAGGAAAGGTGGGAATGAAGGCCCTGTACCTGGATCTGCTGTCCTTATCCCCCTGCATCACAATGTGGGGATCATCTGAGTGGCTCGGTCTGCAAGGAGAGGTTGCCTCCTGTGGTTTTGTGGGTCCCAGAGCCATGTTCTGTCTGCAGCTGCTGTATCTCGCTTGTTCCACAAATGGTTCAAAATCTTGTCTCTTTGCTTTGGTTAAATCCACTTCAAGAGGCAACTAATGAAGGAAGAAAAAGGGTGAATAACTTCCTCCAACTGCTCTTCCCCTTCCTTCCTTTCCCTGCCTTAAAGATCTAGATTCCACCGAAACTGGTTTGGCTCAGTGGATAGAGCATCAGCCTGCGGACTGAAAGGTCCCAGGTTCGATTCTGGTCAAGGGCATGTACCTTGGTTGCAGGCACATCCCCAGTGGGGGGGGGGGGGGGGGGGTAAGAGGCAGCTGATCAATGATTCTCTCTCTCATTGATGTTTCTAAATCTCCTATCCCTTTCTCTTCCTCTCTGTAAATAATCAATAAAATATATTTTTTTAAAAAGAAAGAAAAAAAAGATCTAGATTCCTAGAAAACAGTATGACAATCCTCTAGTCATGCCTTCTAGGTCCTGAGAAACTCAGACAAAAGTTCCAACACTTCAAGTAATATTTCTAATTACATGAGGAGTAAACAATTTCACTTTCTACTTTAGGTATACTGGTCAGTATTAATAAATATAATAAAAATGAATCTTATTTTAGGTTTGATTTAGGCAAATGGTATGTAAAATCTAATTTGAATCTTTCCTTGGCAACTGAATCTGTCTGGTGCTGTCTACTTTTTATATCCTCCCCCCCCCCCCGCCCCTTTTTCTTTTAATGGAAATGATCACAGTCTTTGAGGAAGCCTACACCTTCTCTGCCCTTTCTCCCACAACTCCCCCCTGCAAATACAGCACTCATCCTGGAGAAAGCCATGGATATGTCATGGCACCATTATGTGTCCTTCAAATGACAGGAAGAAGGTCTTGAAAAGTCAAAAATAGGGAATCGCCCAGTTGGGGTTTCCAGATCTGACCAAATGAGAGAAGCAAACTGTGAATTTCATGGCCCTGGGCAAACTGTCAGGCCCACACCCCAGAGGACATCATAGGGCGTCCCCTGAGGCCTCCCAGACGGAGAGGGGGCAGGCTGGGCTTAATCTCATGCACCAGCCTCTAGCACTGAAATAACTGAATAAAACAGGAGAGAAGAAACAAGCTCCTGTGTGGAAGGATTTTGTGTAACTTAGGCGGCTACTGCCCCTCAAGAAGGTGGAATTAACTCCTCATCGCTGTGTGTAGTGTCACATAGTGGCCATTAGAACAGGGGAGAAAAGCAGTGGGTTCACTGTGGAGAAACCTGAGAAACACTCACCCAGGTAACCAAGGTCAACTTCAAATATGATTACCTAGTCATGGTGACAGTATGTATCCTTGATGTGATAAAAATGGCACTTTACCTCTTTGGCCTTCCTCCCAAAAACCCATAACCCCAGTCTAATCATAAGAAAAATATCAGACAAATCCCAATTGAGGAACTTTCTACAAAATACTTCTAGCACTTCTCAAAACTATCAGTCATCCAATCAAGGCAAGTCTAAAAGAAGTCTGAGGAGACATGACAAGTATAATGTCTCCTGGGACAGAAAAAAAAATAAGGAAATGTGCATATAGGATGGACCTTAGTTAATAATATCAGATCAGTAGTAAGTTATTAGTGTGACAAGTGTACTGTATGACTATAAAATGTTTACAATAGGGAAAAATGAGTGTGTGGTATACAGGAACTCTGTACTAGGCTTTGCACTTTTCTCTGTAAAGCAAATGCCATTCTAAAATTTAAAGTTTAATACTTTGTCTACAAATAAATGTACACTTGTTTAAAAAAAAAATCCACATTACCAAAGTGATCTACAGATTGAACATAGTCTCTATCAAAATTTCAATGGCATTTTTTGCATAAATAAAAAATTCACCCTAAAATTCAGATGAATCTTAAGGGACCTCAAATAGCAAAAATAATTTTGCAGGAAAACAAAACAAAGCAAAACAAAAACAAAGTTGGAGGACACACCACTTCATTTCAAAACATATTACAAATCTACAGTAATCAAAATGGTTTGGTGCTGCTATAAAGACAAATATAGACCAATGGAAAAGAATACAGAACCCAGAAATAAACCCTTACACATATGATCAAATGATCTTCAACAAGCATGCCAAGACTACTCAATAAGGAAAGGAGAGTCTCTTCAACAAATGAGGGTGGGTGAACTGGAAATCCACATCACATACAAAAATAAATTATACCTCTTCCTGTCAGCAACCTGAGATGACCTCTAAAAATGGCTTACCATTCACTTGATTCAGAAAACCTCTCAAAATCATGCAAATCAAAAGGTTCAAATCATCATGTTTATTTTAAGAACACTTGTGAAACTTCCCAGACCATCAAGGGTATGCATATCTGAAAAGCCACTGAGTATTTGAAGAATGCCACTTTACAGTGCAATGTGTACCATTCTGTCATTACAACGGTGGAATTGATAAGTGCTCAGGCCTGAGAGTGGGGGTGGGCACAGGGTTGGTGGCCCAAAAAGAGTGCTAACTTTTTGCTGCACACACTTAAAAATGCAGAGAAGGCTGAACTGAAGGGTTTAGATACAGACTCTTTGGTCATTGAGCTCCTCCAGGTGAACAAAGCTTCCAAGATGCAGTGCAGAACTTCCAGAGCTTGTGGACACATTGAGATGATCCTTAATGAAAAAGAGGTAGATTAAAAAGAAACCAGAAGGGGTAGGCTAAAAAGAAAAAAAAGATACCACAGCCAAAACCGGTTTTGTTCAATGGATAAAGCGTCGGCCTGTGGACTGAAAGATCCCAGATTCAATTCCGATCAAGGGGGAGAAACCAAGATGGCGGCACAGGGTAGACACCCAAATGCAGCCTACCACAACAAATTTGAATTTAGAACTGAAAAACAGGGGAAACATCACCCTGAAGCGTCCAATGGCTGGCTGAGAGAAGGAGCTACCATCTGGGAAGGAGAGAGAAGGCACGCTGAACCTCAGGAACTGTGAAGGTACAGAGAAGTGCGCACACGAAAAGGCGGCTGCCAGACTTCGCTGCCGGCTTGCTTGTGGAGCAGGAGAGGGCAGGCTGAGTTCACTGCTGGCTTACTCCCTGCGTGCTAAGAGGGCGGACAGCTAATGCGCAACTGGCTTTCTTGTTCGCGAGGAAAACAGAACCACCCTATTACGCTGATAGACGGCCCCAGACAGGGAGAGGCCAGACTGTCGGGCAGTGGGCTGGGATCTCTCGGAGCTGTGTGAAGCCAGAGGCCATTACCGTGGGACTCAGAAACCAGACCCTCATAGGGAGGGGCTGACTAAAGCTTGTCTGCACCACCCGAGACTCCGCCCATCCAAGCGGATCATTGAAGCCCTTCCAGTGGCTAGTTTTCTCGTTCGCAGTGAATGGGACTCTCTTAGAGAGTGACAGACAGAAATCCAAAGCTTCTTTGAGCCTATCCCAAAGAGGTGCGCACGCATGCAACCAATTGTGCGGGATTCAACGAAGTTTATCTGTGCCACCCCGGGACTCTGCCCCATTCAAGCAGAATATAGAAACCCTCCTAACTGAGACACTTCTGATCCTCATAGTCAATCTCCTCATAGGAGATCAACGCTTCCCAGTGATACCAACAACAAGCAAGGCTTAACAACAGGACTGCACACACAGCCCACAAAGGGCTACAACAGGACTGTCCACTTCAGGTAACTGGGAGGCTGACTCACTGAACCATATAGGACACCTTAGCACACAAAGCCACCCTACCAACTCAGGGAAGCTGTGAAAACGCCGAGACAAGGAAACAGATCACGAACAAAAGAAATGGAGGACAAGAAGCGACTGGATAGAGTTCAAAACCACACTTACAAGGTTTTTCAAGAATTTCCTAGAAAAGGCCGATAAAATAAACGAGACCTATGAGGATATGAAAAGGGATAACTAGAAATAAAGAATACATTGTCTGAAATTCCAATCAAGGGCATGTACCTTGGTTGCGGGCACATCCCCAGTGTGGGGTATGTAGGAGGCAGCTTATCAATGTTTCTCTCTCATCGATGTTTCTTTTTTTTTTTTTTTTAAATATATTTTATTGATTTTTTACAGAGAGGAAGGGAGAGAGGGATAGAGAGCTAGAAATGTCGATGAGAGAGAAACATCGACCAGCTGCCTCTTGCACACCCCCTACCGGGGATGTGCCCGCAACCAATGTACATGCCCCTGACCGGAATCGAACCTGAGACCCTTCAGTCCGCAGACCGACACTCTACCACTGAGCCAAACCGGCTTCGGCTCTCTCATCGATGTTTCTAACTCTCTATCCCTCTCCCTGTAAAATCAATAATATATATATATTTTTTAAAAAGAAGCCTTGAGAAACTTAAAAAAAAAAAAAAAAAAAAAAAAAAAAAAAAAAAAAAAAAAAAAAACATACCACAGAAGAAAAAAAATGAAGAAACAAAAGTTATGGCCAGGAAGTGAATTTAGCATAAAATAAATGCTAATAAAAGTAAAAGAAATAGCTCTAGCCGGTTTGGCTCAGTGGACAGAGCATCCATCGGCCTGTAAACCGAAAGGTCCCAGGTTCGATTCTGGTCAAGGGTACATGGCTGGGTTGCAGAATAAATCCCCACCCTGGTCGGGGCACTTGCAAGAGGCAACCAATCAATATTTCTCTCTCTGTGTCTTTCCCCCTCCTTTCTATGCCCTCTAAAAGTCAATGGAAAAATATAAAAAGATCTAAAACTCATAAAAGAAAACACAGAGGCAAACTTCATGATATTGATTTTGGCAATGATATTTTGGATATGACACCAAAAATATGGGCAAAAAAGACAGATATATACAAAAAGGACTACATCAAACTTGAAAACATAAAAGTTAACCTATGGAATAGAAAAAAACTTACAATCACATCTTTGACAAGTGATTAATATTCAGAATACAATTTCCAAGAGCATTGGCCTGTGGACTGAAAGGACCCAGGTTCAATTCCAGTCAAGGGCACATGCCCGGGTTATGGGCTCAATCCCCAACAGGGGGCATGCAGAAGGCAGCCAATCAATGATTCTCTCTCACCTTTTTTTTTGTTTTGTTTTGTTTTTTTATTGATTTTTCACAGAGAGGAAGAGAG